TTCCCCCTCGTAGAGTGTTGCCATTGCTCGCTTTTAAATCGTGTAGTTTGTTAATCAAAAATTCGTTAAAGTTTTACAAAATATTACATAGGTAATAAAATAAATTCCAAACTCCAAATTTGGGCTTCCAGATGCCCATATTCGGGTGGAAGCGTACGTTATTCAAAATTGGATAGCTCTAAGTACCGTTGTTTTATCACAATGTGAGAAACATATATACATTTATGCAGATTCTTCATTATTTAATTTCTTTAAATATAAGACAGGGCTATAATATTTGATGGCAACAATTGGAAAAGTGAAGACATTTATAGTAAACAAACGCAAAATACCAATAATAGTCCTTCAGGGCAAATTGCACCTTTGGACTAATAATTATGTTTTACTGTAGAGTACTGTAGAGTACTGTAATTATGTTTTACTGTAGAGAACATTTACTGTTTTACTCAAATGAGGATAGAACCTTTACAGAATTTTAAGTAACTTAACTACAATTTCGAACTAGTTATAAAACATTTGCTATAGAAAGCAATTGTGTTTGCCTAAACATTACTCAGTGTTGTATTAAAGGTAGTGCTTGTTCGACTATAATTGTTTATTTGAGGATTTCTTAGGCATGGAAATATGCGGATAATAGAGATTCATTTTCAGCAAACACTGAAGATAGCAAATTAAGCATGATTGAAAAAGAAAGCCAGATAGATCTGTCTTGTGAGGCAGTTTAAAAACTAAATTCTAGTGATCGTTATATAGACTTCATCATTGCTACAAAACAAACTCTCTACAAAAAATAAAATACAAAAAATAAGTACTCGTCACTATGAAACGCTTCTCTACAAAAAATAAATACTCGTCTCTATGAAAATTTTCTGCAATATATTTGTGCGACAGGCATTTTCTTCTGTAACAGCTGTTAAAACTCAGTACAGGTCTCGGCTTGAAATAAACGCGGCTCTTCGTCTTGAAGTGGTATCACTAGAACCAAAAATCCACAAACTGATTTCAAACAAACGGGAACAATTATCACACTAAAAATATGAAATATTTAAATAAACCTAAATTTTCAATTTCTTTAAATAATTACTCTATAACTGTTGCCTTTAATGGGTGCTTTTCGCGTTAATAAAATAAAAGTTTTCTGGTTATTATTAAATAAATATATTTACCATTTTTTTCTAAACTCATATTAGTGGTCCGCCAAATTAGAAATTATACATTTAGTGGTCCATGAAGTTCTAAAGGTTGGCAACCGCTGGTTTAAAGCATGGAGGTAAGAATAAAAGGAGGCACCAACTCCGCACTATGCCTGATGCAGTGCTTCCGAGCATTGGTCTCCAGTTGGCGGAAGGTGTCTTTTCTTTGCATCCGGAGCATCCTTGACAGCGCTTTGGTAATATTTCCACACAGGATAGTGCCATGAAAATCGAAAAGAGGGGACACTTCGGCATAAAATGCAGATTTTAGCAAAATGTTTATGTTATGCCTAAAGAATGAAAAATATTTAAGGTACCTTTAAAATTGTCAAAAATGTTGCAAAAATATAACTTTAAACCTCGATTTCCTTATAACTAACTGGTATAAGCTTTTGTAATTAGGTACATAGGTCTGGTTAAGCTTTCTAAATAGGGTAAAGCATTCAAGGGCTATCTGCCTAAGGGGATAGATGTTTTCGTGGAGGAATTTCCAAGGAAAACTGACATTTGAGTGCGTATTAAAATTACTGTATGTACTTTTCAATCAATTTATACATATTCAGAAGTCAAACAACAAAAATCAGCGTTATACCTACAAAATTTTCACAGGACTAGTTTCGATGGTTTTACCAAACCATCATCTTCAGCTGCAAAACCGCAAATGAACAAGATAGGAAATAATGATTAGATAAGATAAGAAAGCTTGAACAAGAATAAGCAAGAGGCGCCATCTGTTGGCGAAACCAGAACTAAAACATAATTTCTCTAAAGCCGAAGGCAAATTTGGATTGGAATTAGGATCGTTAACTAGAACAGAAAGATTTTTATGAATGTGAAATGCCTCTAGAAAATCCAGTTCTCCAATGGAAGATGTTTTTTGAATAATTTTGGCAGCAGAAAAATTGAAAGTGTGATTTTCGGACCAACAATGTTGAGCAACAGAAGACTTCTGTGTTTCCTTTTTTCTAACATATGCCTCATGTTCTTTGACGCGAAATTTTAAGGCTCTCTTAGTTTGGCCAATGTAAATTAAACCACACTGGCAAGGAATCCTATAAATACCCCAGGAATTCATATCCGGAATGGGGTCCTTGAGTATAGAAGTTGGAATTTTATTGATGGGAGAATAAACAACCCGAAAGTTAAATTTCTGCAAAATATGTGCAACTTTATAGCTAATTGATGGAAAGAAGGGAATGACAACAGAATTTTTATAATCTCCTAAAATAAGAGTGTGGCTTTTAGTGTGTTGAGATGAGAATTTTTTAACTGCTTGATTAATAATGTTGGGTGAAAAGCCCCTGTCAATAGCTATTGCTTTTAAATAATTTAGTTCTTCATCAAGGGCTAGTTTGGAGGAGCAAACTTGAAGAGCACGGAAAACATAGGAATAAAATGAAGCTAACTTTTGTTTAGTCGGATGACATGATTTAAAGTGTGGTGGAAGGCAAACCGATGAAGGTTTACGGTAAACTGTAGTACTGAAGTTGGATGTGTTACGTGTGACCAGAATGTCGAGAAACGGAAGAGAATTGCAAGTCTCAAGTTCAAAAGTGAACTGAATAGCAGGATCAATAGAATTCATTGTTGAAAGAACTTTATTTAAATCATCTTTATTACCTTCAAACAGGGTAAAAGTATCGTCTACGTAGCGGAACCATGCCGGGAAGTTTAAAGTTTCAAACAATTTTGATTCATAATAATGCATGTAGATATCAGCCAGGATGGGACTGAGGGGGCTTCCCATGGCTAATCCCTCAGTTTGCTTGTAATATTTATTTTGGAAAACAAAATGTGTTTGTTTCAAACAGAGTTGAGTGAGAGAAATTAGCTCATCAATTTCGATGCAAGAGAAATGAAATTCGCGAAGTCTGGTTTCTAGACATCTTAATGCACCCTCCACTGGGACATTGGTGAATAATGATTTTACATCAAAAGAAACCATGAGTAAATTACGAGGAGAAAATGTTTTTTAACCTTTTTTACAAACTCTATTGAATTTTTTATGGTGTAAATGTTATTGTCTAATAGAGTGGAAAATCTAGAAACTAAATATTTAGCTAAAGGATACGAGGCAGTACCTAAATTTGATACAATAGGGCGGAAAGGAATACCACTTTTATGAATTTTGGGAAGAGCATATAATCTGGCACAATTCGGTTAACGCTGATTTTTGTTATCTGGCACAATAGGTTAACGCTGATTTTTGTTGTTTGACTTCTGAATTAGTATTTATTCGGCGTGTTATTGTGTCTCAATTTATACATATTTATTATGTACAAAATGTTGATCTGTACTAAGTTGTGAATTACTTTAGTCCAAAAATATAGTGAATGCACAAAAATTAAAGATTTGCGCATGCTAAAAAGGAAAAATATTAAATTGTATAGGTATTTATGCATATCCTTGTAAAAAGCATTTACTTGGCTCTAACTAAATATGTAAATACCGATTATATTACTTATAAATGTTATTTGGAAATGAATTATTTATTCGTTCATTAAACTTCCAGGAATGCAACTGTGAAGAAATCTATTTATTAAATATATCTAAATTTATAATGATTATAAATATTATCTGAATATATAATAATCTTAACATTTAGTTGCAAACCTTGATTGAAAAATAGATTTATAAAATTATTTAAGCACTGGAAAGCAATCTATTAAAAGGTGTTGTAAAGAAAAATCTGTGAGATGCGTACTTTAAAGAAGTAGCAAAGAGGAATTTTTAAGACATGTACTGTTGAAATTAAGGGCCAAAAAATGATAAATATTAAAAGAACTATTTCCTTACATTTTAGAGTAACTCAAGTTTTAGAGTAAACTTACAAGTTTTAAATATTATTTTTAAAAAAGACCTTTTTAAAATATCTTTGAGAAATACTCATAGAAAGTTAAGTACATGGAAATCCGCATCAATATTTAAATAATTCACGATTAAATAAAAAGGTGTTGTAATTTAAAATAAACCCGAACAAACTGACTCTGATTTTTGGTTTAAAAGATGCCTCAGAAGCTAAAAATTCATCTCATATTTGAAAAAGTATTTCAGGAAAAACTTCTGCAAATAGAAAAGAAGTAACGCGTAATTTTACTAGTAATAATACAATAAACATTGATATTAATTTTTGCAATCGTTAACTCAATAAAATCGAATTACCATAAAATTTCTTTCTAATGTTATAAGGTATTTCTCCCGCCTTCTTAGCATGCCTTCGTAGTGTAGTGGTCAGCAAGCTCGGCGCGTACTCGAGAGGCCCATGGTTTGAGTCCAGGAGAAGGCGTTGCTCATTTTTCATGTCTCCAGCTTCGAAATAACCTAATGTCTCTACAATGTAATTATCGAAAACTTGTGGAAATATTTCATTCAAATTAAAAACTATGCTGAGCACACTTTTCTGGGAGAAGTGTAGCATTTAATTCGGTTGAGAATGAAATGTTGATTAAATATGTATTTTTTTTTTTTTTTTTTTTTTTTTTTTGCATAGTTAGGACTCTGAAATATTGTAGAAAAAGAAAATATGTACATTTATAAGCATATTTAAGAAATAATTACAAAATATTTACCCCTGATCCAGTCGAAACCTATTGATCTTGATGGCAAGTTACTGAATGTTTTGGTCTCCAAGAGAGGTGCGCCACTGCTTCAACGCAGTGCATGAGAAAAATCGGTTCGGACCTCTCCTCTTATTTCTTGCCTCCATGGTTTTAAGAGTCGCCGGTGTTTAATGCGTAGAATTACTAATGAAAGTGTGAGGATATTATAGAGCAAATAAAACAAATAAAAGATTTTACATACAATATATATTTTATTTTATTTTTTATTTACTACATACAAGCGGCAACCCAAGATTGACTGGGGTTATTGCATTACACGAAGCTGATGCTCTTTTCTCCAGAACAAAGTAATCAGAGAGTGTCAATGATTTTGACTGAGTTTCTCATAGGATCGTCTATAACGTTCTCTTCGCAAACATTTCTTTCGTTCTTTATTTGTTTGCTGAACATTGTCGTATTCGTACATTTCATTCTGCTTCTCTTTGCCTCGATCACCATAATTTTTTCTTCGAACGAAATCATTATTAGTTATTTTTGGCGAAATAAAATACAACAAACATCCACGGAAAGCACTAACTACGTGCCAGACGACCTTGCCACTTACATTCGGTCGCGCATGCAAACACAGCTTTAACGTCACTAAAATTTAGCTAGTTTTGGCACGTTACTGTGCGTATACACTTTTCCCAATTTCAAAATCTTTTTGTTTGTTTGTTAATGTGCTCTTTCATCTATCTAATGATGTAGTTAGACTGAATGTAAAATTTGTAGTTTCGAAGATATAAGCATTCGTATACACCTCAAATAGCATCATAATTTTTGCTTTCCCATCAGACCAGTATGGAGGAACGCAATGCTATGTTAAAAAATTCCGATGAAGTTACTTTGGATTTTAGAAAATCACTCTGAAGTGTTTTTTTAATCTCGCCTCTTTACTACTTGGAAGTTCATTTTTCAATTTTTAGGCAAACACATCTCTTCGCTTCCTCAGTTTAATTTTTCACGTACCACAACAACTTAACGTCTTACTTTTCTAAGCAATTTTTAGGAGAACAGTACAATCAGAAATTAAACAGGTAAACACTGTTATTTCAAGAAAAAAATTGAATGGAAAAATAAAAATACTTATCTTGGTATTACTTTAAATAGCAAACTTTATTTCAAATCACAATATGAAACTTTTTCAAAAATTCATCTTCACCATTTCTAATTTAAGGCCATTATTAGATAGGAAATTCAAATTTTCATCTAAAAACAAGGTAATGTATAACAAGGCAAATGTAAGACTTTCAGTATTGTATGTTGTACGCCATAAGTGATAATTCAGCAAAACACAGTCTTCGGAAGAACCAGTAATTCAAAACAAAAAACGCTTGGAGAGATAACAGATCCTTCTGGCTACGTAAAAATAGACCAAGAGCTCTAATTTCCACCAACTCCAGAGTTTATCAGACATTTGACTGTTATATTCTGTAAAAATGTTGAAAAATACAAAAACGCACATATCAGAATGCAATTCACAAGCATCAATATCCTACCAATACTTTATCATTTAAAAAGTTTATAATGTGTATTCCTGAAGTTTATATTTCAGGCTCAGTAAACTGCATTTTTAAACTTAAGTTACAAATCAAAAACTACAATGTGATACTCCATTTTCTCCATTTTTCCGAAATGCAAGTATCATCACCACAACCCTTTATGTAAAAATTCAGCATGTTGTTAAATTAAAGTAAAGGAGAAAATTGAACCCTACCATACTCCAAAATAAGCATCTGACTTTTGCAATTTTATAGTGACATTATGTTTTCCGGAGCAGGAAACACGAAAATTTAACTATATATCCTCGCCGGGATTCAAACTCTGAAATCTGCGACAGTCAGGCATGCTTCCAGTTGCACCACGAAGGCACGTGTTAAAAACTAATTATTTCTCATGCTCTCCTCTAACTTATATGCGAATGAAGAGGAAGTGAACCAGTCGTTAAATCGAAATGGTAATAAATTATTATGCAGCACATAATTAATGGGGCCCAGTGTGGTGGAAGATAATTCATCCCGGTGGTGATGAATTGTGGTCTATCACATCCGGTGCCACTTGTACAGTTACCTAGTTTTTATTGTAGCAGAAAACATGAAAATCAGTAATGCTCTGATTTCAAAGCCGGTATTTGAACTCTTTGTTTAAAATATCACACGATCGAGATGTTGGGACATGTTTACAATTATAACACGAATGTATACGGTAAGGAAGAAGAAAGTTTCTTACAGATTATTAAACAGAAAATGTCTTTGTTAGATGCAGTTTAGAGATTTGTTTATATTTCATTTGTCTAGAATCAGTGTCTTTGCTTCTAGTGATCATTCTTATCTTAAAATCCTTTGGTTCTAAGAACACTGATTCTGCTGTTGTTGTTGTTATTGTTTCTAACCTTTGAAGTGGTCTAGTCCTGTTAGATCAAATCCATGAGTCCACAAACTTCAAAAAAGTTTAAAAAGAACAGAGGTTCTGAGAAAACCTCGTCGAAATAAAATCAAGACAAAATAAAATATAATCAGGTGATGCCTGATCATTCCTACACTTGGTGCAAGTCTTGAAAGCTTTCTGCCCTTTTCATAGGACAGACTCCTTAAGTGTCCAATAGCAAAACGTGATATGCAAGTCTGCTAGTTTCTATGGCTTCTCAAAAAGAGCAGCACAAGTGTGAATTCTCAAGTACCAATCATGTACTGGTAGTGATCCTAAAGTGATTTCTTATACTCAGAGAACATCTCACTATAAATGCACGGCATATCTGACTACGGAATCAGGAGGCAGCCTTTGCCAGAGAATCCGCAGTTTCTTTGCCACTAATGCCCACATGTGAGATAATCCATTGGATGTGCACCTCAGAATTACAAAACCTAGAAATTAAGTTCAGGATAGCTATAATAGCCCTGTATCCAAACTTTGTCCAATCACTTAGATGTTGAAATGAGATCTGGCTGTCAATTAGGACCCATATGTCTACAAAACTAGGTTCAACTACATACTCAACATAGCTCAGGCCTCTTTCGACAGCGATAAGCTCAGATCAGAACGCAGAGCAAGAATCTGAATTTCTATTTTGAATTCTCAAAGCAGAAGTAGGAATCTGATGAAGATGTCACAATCAGAACGGCCCTGATCACCCTTACAGTGCTTCGAAATCCGGTGTATGGATATGCGTAATTCCTTATAATCTCCCCCACTTAAGGGACGACTAGAAAGAGAGTAATGAGATACAGTCGATAAAATTCATGTTGTGAAGAATTATCACTAACTTTTTAGTTTTGCAAATATAATTTTAGAAAAATGTAAATTATTGCTTGGGTATCTGTTTTATTGAATAGCGGAAGAGAAAATACGCAATCATTGCATTTCCTCATGCATGCTGTTATGGTATAAGTGGTTAGCAAATCCAGATGGCAACTGCATGATACATTGTTCGAATCCCAGCAAGGACACAGTTGATGGTTTACATTTCCTGCACCGAAACGCCTATACAACTTAATGGATTTTTTTTAAAAAATTATATTTTTTTTTCATTTCCATCAGCTGACCTAGAAAAATGATCCATAAAAAGTTAGATAAAATCTAACTAAGTCATTGTAAAGAAATCAAAAGAAACTTAGAAATCCTTTGTCTTTTTTCCAACTTTTACAAGATGCTTCAGGAACCCACCGAAACCATAAATTTTGTGGGATAGTTTGGATTTTTCCGTCAACTTTGTGCAAACGCTCACAGAGATCGCACATCCAGGGATGCAAATGAACAGTGTAATCATCTTTCCAGTTGAAGAAGCTGTTGTACCAAGTTGTATTCTTTGCAACAGCTTCCAAATGTGCAGCTAAATCTTTTGGTCTAGGGAAATTAGTGGCATCTATAAAAGAATAAGGTGGAGCAATTTTCTCATAATTCGCTCCTCCGAGAACCACTGGTACAACATCGTAGTGCAGAATGTTGTAGAATTTCTCAGTTACATAATCTTTGCAGATAGAGTTTTCGAAGGATAAATAAAATTTGTAGTTCTTCAACAATTCGTAACATTGCTTAGATTGCGGGGGTTCACACTTTCTGCGACGACTGCATTTACCATAGACATCAACATCGTAATATTTCTTTAATTCTTTCACATACGTCTCTCGTTTGCTTTCAGTGCGACAGTTGCTAACCATCCATATCGCTCCTTTCTTTCTTTGACTAACGTTTATTTGTCGTGATGAATGTTTCCGAGCACAAGAACTATCCTTGGAGTAGATTTCACCATACTTTACTTGAACGTCAGAATCCGAGCGATAAGTCATAGTCCAGTTGAAGATAGTTCTTGCCAGATTCCACTTAAGTAAGACATATCTCGGAGCTTCCATACTGTACAGAATCCAGATCTGATTATGTCGGTGACTTGGTGGCATTTTGGAAAAGCAAATATCTTTGCCATGAAACAGGACTGCATCTACATGAGGTAGCAAAGTTTTATTGGATGTGACGTAGCAATCGCTGATATTGCAATTGTAACGCTCGAAAGTTTCTCGGCCTTTTTGAAAGAAATAAAAATCACTGGAGTATTCTTCGTTGAAATATGTAGTCCATAATAGAATTATTTTTGTCCTTAACTTAGACTGGTGACTTTTAATTGCTCGGGTTCTGACAGTTCGAATCTGGCCTGGCACAGCAATCTCTTTCCAGTTTCTATCATCAGAACGTTTGCAAATATCCGAATATTCACTGAATGCATGCTGGGCGAACTTGTTAAAACCAGTTGTAAGTAAAAAGGCTGTTCCGGTTATGAATAACAGCCTGGAAATCCTATTTTTCAGAATAATCGCAACGATTCTTTGAGTCTGTGATAAAAAGTAAAGGATGGCAATCTGTCTCCATTTTGACATGCTTTCGCAGCAAAAAAAAGTAGTCATGCCTATAAAAGAAAAAAATAATAACTCTTTTGGTTAGTTGAGTGAAATATTTCGTTTGGAATTACAATGCTACTACAATGCATTTTTAATCTAGGTTTAGATTAAGTGTAAAATCACTCTATTATTTAAATTTCATATTTGGATTAGAATTTGACGAATGCATTTGCTTCTGAACAGATGTGACAAATTATTTCAGCAACAGATGCTTATTGGAGACAATTACATATAGTCAGCTCCCAATTAACCCATCAGATTAACACTTTATTGCAGATTAACTGTGCTACACTATTTAAAAAAAAAAGAAAGTAGACAACTTTTATTGTACACTAGTGGGAAAATTATCGTCTCAAACTATCGTAAAACCTGTCTTGCCTCTGGCCCGAAAACGGTATTTTCTTCCTTTAGGCTGAGAAATGTTTTTGTTGGTGATCAGTGCAAGCAAAATAAATTTTACTTTAAAAAAATTAGTCTAGGCGAAATTTCTGCTGTAGCCTCTACGAGAAAATTGCAGAGGATATAGGAGATGATGTCATAAAATTTATGACCTTTTCAAATAAACAAATGTGGGTAATTTAATCCATAAACATTGTAAAATCATTTACAGTCAATCAATTTTCTATGATTTGATTTCTAATTTAGTTTCTTCATCTTTAACGTCCTTCTACTGTTTGCAATGCGTGATCTTTATTTTCAATGCAATGTTATTTGACATATCCAAATGAACTTATCTCTTGCTTGAAAATACGAAAAAAAAATTTAATAGTATTTTTCGGTCAATTTTAATATTAAATGTTCTTCCTCTCTGTTTTTAATTATTTGCCTACGGATTAGCCGTGATTTTTGATTAACTATGGGTGTCGGCTCTGACATTTATCATCTAGTCGTAATAATGTGATCGAGAAATTATTGTATTACATTAAGTATTGTTAAAGCAGCTTTCGTGCATAGGCGCCACTGAAAATCTATCAATTATTTTCTTATAATTACATAATATAATGAGAATGCTTAAATTTGAAACGTAAATGTGATAACAGTAAGATACATTTTCTTAGGTTTGTAACGGTACACACTGTTGGCATCAATAAGATGGAGAGTAATTCTCTTTGTCAAATAGGAAAATGGAGCTACTGGAGCAAATTTTTGGTAATCGCTCCATCTCAAAATCTACTGCGCGGCGTCTTTCTCTAGTCTTGAGCCTTCTGTTTTATTTTAGAGGTTTCGAATAATAAGAATCCTTCCCTCCTTTTTCTTATTTAAAGCAAATCATTGAAGAAATTGCTATGAAAATCGGCGTAGAAGAATTTTCTCCGTGACCCAAAATATGCATCAAGAGAAAAGAGAATGAATTCATATTTTTATAAAAACTCCCACTCACGATATTGCCATCATAAATTAAGTTCTTACTTATCCTCATGTCTGATGATAGTTTTCGCCGACTAAGTGGCATACATACATTAGACGCTCCTTAATGTGAACGTGATTATCATTCGGATACTGTTATCGAATTTTCGGAACCCTGCCCATTTGTATATGAAAACCTGGAAAATACATCGCTTATTGTGATCAACAAGTCAGTTAATATTATCAAAATATTATCGAACACTAGACCTGTAAAATCTATGAGGATCTCGAACGCATCCAGAAAATTTGATTTAAGTCAACTTTATCGAAATCAGAATTTTAAGAGCGGTTGCAATGGATAAGGATTTCTTACCTTTTACAATTAACTGAAAAGTAACATAATTATCATTCTTTCCCCAAAATATGTTCTTTCGTTTTGCCTGATAATACGAACTCAATAGTTATTCCTTTTTTCCATCGATTAGCTATAAAACTGAAAATATGTTACATGAGTTCAACTTTCGGGTTGTTTCTCTGATAATAAAAGTTGCAATTCGTTACTTAAAGATTCAATGTCAGACACGAACTCTTGAAATACTACATTGAAATAGTTCATCGGCTAATTCTGAATACAGGAAAGCAAGGATTTTTGTGGAAGAGAGATTCCAATTAATTTCCAATTAATTTCAACGTTCTCCCCCCTGGTTAACCTTAAATATATATATATATAATATATCTATAATATATATATATATACCCTTTAATAATAACATACAATAGAAGACGCTGCCGTTTAACTTGATCCTGTCTGTTCATGATTGTTATGATAATGAAAACCGAATGCTAACATTAAAACAAAACTATTTTTCGAAATATTAATGGAATTCAGTATAATTTTAATATAAATATAACTAGAAATACATAAATATTTACTTTCACAGAATTTTAATTAGTAAAAGTCATTAACAATTGATTGCCCAGAATTCTTACGAAGAAGTTCATATTTTGAATATTCATAATGCCTCTGGAAATTATTTAGTCGATGCTGTAGCCCTAATCTTAATACTCTTAGGACACCTCTCGTCTAAGTATTTGTACAAAATTCAGCGATTTCGTCGTCATATTATTCAGAAAGTTGATCAAATGGTGTGGTTGGATTGGTTTCTGGAGCGGCAGGCAGATATCTTCTTCTGCTACTGAATCTGCAGCTTGAGATTTTTCATCAAAAAGCATTAAACTCCTCACAGTTCACGTTAATGTGAGAAATTTTCAATTCCTCATCTTCTTATATTTTATCGTTTAATAAAAGTTCGTCATGCTCAAAACAGTTCTTTAATTCTCTTTTCTGAGATGCGGTTCTAAGACTTTAACCTTCCCTTAAACCAAAATCAAGATAGCTTGGCGATTTCAAACCTTACCTGGCGACATACATGGGTCACTTGACTATGTCCTTCTCTAAGTAATAGAGTCTCTGTGTTCTTTTTAGAAGCATAACAACGTGGACTCTACGTAGAAGACGAAGTAGCGAATACTCGCTAAGTCTTTGAAGAACAATTACTGAAGAAGAAGGTTTAAATAATTTCTTTATTTGAACTAAGAAAACAGATGCACGCGCTCGGTGCTACAATTTACCACCACTTGCGACTAACTTAAATTTAACAGAAAATAAAAATGTAACGAGTCACAATAAATTTAAATGACCAACGACTGGCTCTTTAGCTTATCTAAACCGCTAAATCGGCTGAACACAGCAAAGTCGAACCTAGAAATATCAGTATTGTTATGTTTTTCTTCTGACACCAGTTGTTGTGTTTGTCTTTTCTGACACCAGTTATTACGTTATTTTCCTCCTTCACGTTCGTACGAGGTTCGTGTGCATTTGGAATGAATAACGACGACAGCACTTGATGGAATATCGAAACACACTTTATTTACCAATATTAATCAGGACAGCTTCAAAACACTTTTACAGTCGTCGAAGATCTACGATAAACTCACTGGAACGATCAGCAACACCGCCTTCAGGTTATCAGGCTATAACGGTGGAGAAAGTTTCGCTGCAAAGGACTAGAGTACAGCTCCCAACTCTACTTGATCGTTCTCGGAACTCCACGTACTCTCGAGACTCTCACCGCTACAACTCGCGATGCACTCGACGACACACAGAGCACAACTCCCGACTCTTCGGTTCAGTCGTTCCAGGAGCTCAACACGCTCTCTCGACGATGACTAACCGCGATACACTACGAGACTCTTTCAGTGCACTCGACGACCCACTCGGCACTCACTGCCCGGCTGTCGACTCCGCAGGCTCGCTATACGAGACACCAACTTGATACTAACTATCTAGCACTTTAGACGAGGCCTACTCTCAGACTGCTGGCCAGCAGGGGTTTATATAGCTTTCGGCTTGTGTGCGAGCACATTCTGGGCTAAACCGGTAAGAATTCGTTCCAGAAAGTTCTCCATCCGTCCATGGTATATCGCCAATTTTGTCGCTAAATGGGCGATTTCTCGCAAAATGTGGCAACACTGTCTTCCCTTGCTATTTTATAGCAACCTTAAACCTGCTTTTCGGAAAAGCTACTTCACCGCGCCTGGCCATTTCGTAATAGTATAAACTGAAGGGTGTCTAACACCGATTGCTGAGCTAATTTCAAACACGCAGCATAAACTCGGTATCTCTGCTACTACTCTCGAACTCTTGAAAAGCAGCTTAAATACTGCTTATGAAACACGTTTAGATTAGCATACTACGTCATTTAAAATTTACATTACGGCACCAAACTGAAATCAGAAGGAAAAGGAAAGTAAAACAAAAAATATTTGGTTAGAATAAAATAAGGTTCTTACATAGAATACAGTTTATTGGACCTTATTAGGCAACAATTACTTCAGTTTAAGAAATTCATTCGATTATCTTGGTAACATTGACCAACTTGATCACAATAAGCGACGTATTTTCCATGTTTTCGTATACAAATGGGCGAGGCTTCGGCAGTTTCATAAGAAACAATATCCCAGTTATAAAATTAACCATGATCATATTAAGCAGCGCTTACTGTAGTTAGAATCCTACATATATTTGCTTCATTTTGCTCTGTTTTCTTCAGGAATAAGCTTATTGTTATCTTATTACAATACAAGTACCTTATTGCAAAAGTTAAGGTAATACGAATATTACAACGTTAATGTAATAAAGAGAAGAATTAGTAAATCATAAACGGATTACTATAATTATAAACGAATATATTTTACTCTTTTATTCTGCCATTTTTTAAGCATGACCTACAGTTATATTAATAAAGTTAAAATTTTTATCATTTCCAAACCCACTTTTGAAATGTTTGTGAAATTTCACGTATTACAGTCCGTTTGTTAAAACATTTTTAGATCAAATTGGGAGCTTTTGTGGAACTCTTAGCAATATTTTATCGAACTTATCTTGAAGTTTCAATTTCTATCCCATTCCATTTCATTGTTTTCACGTCAAATAACTTTTACATGAGTTTATCCCGCATGACATTCAGACAGGTTCTCGTCCAATTAAATTCAAAATTCACCAGATCCCATATTTACTTACACCTGAATTTACTAATTTAAAAATGCAATAATTCTGCCTGATAGCAAATACTGAAGATCACAATATTATAAGACTTTCTAACGATAAAATGTATCTTTTCTCCTGAACTACAATTTGACTAAAGTCAAGCTGTGAGGATTATGTTAATTTTATTAACAGTTAAATTTTAAGTTCCTTTCCTGTCAAATTCTTAACTTCAACTTACTACTTCCGGCCAGAACGTAGTTTTAGAATCACGTCTGAATACATAATGAGGAAAAGCGGTATTTAACCGCGAAGTTCTTGGGTCGTAGGGAGAGAATTTACAAAAAAGAACGGAGTAGCGGCATGCTTCCTCGATTTCGAAAAAGCTTTCGATCGAGTGTGGCATGCTGGCTTACTTCATAAGCTATCTAACTTCCTTTTACCAAACAGCTTTATTAAGCTTATGCATTCTTATTTTAAACATCGTACTTTTCAAGTGCGCTGTGGTGAAGCAATCTCTTCAAAAAAAGTGATTTACAGTGGAGTAGCTCAAGGCAGTGTTTTAGGACCGAAGCTTTTTACAATATTCATAAATGATATGCCTCTACCTTTTCATTCTAATATACTCAAATATGCCGACGACACAGTCATCCTCACCAGTTCACGAAGTCCAAATAATGCTTTTAGAGAAACTTCAGCTCCAAGTCAACATTATTAACAAATTTTGTCAAGACTGGAAAATGAAACTAAATACTGATAAATGCTGCGTAGTTCTCTTTCGCAGATACAGAAAAATATCCCAGTGAATATAAATATCCGACTCAATAACCAAGATATTCCTGTTGCCAACTCCTATAAATATTTAGGTGTCTATATTGACAAAACCCTAAATTTCAAAGATCATATTCAATATGTTACAAATAAGGCTAACGCTGCTTTCATTGCTCTCTACTCATTAATTGGAAGAAACTCTAAGTTAAGCCTCCGTACCAAGAAAAATATCTACATCTCACTTATTCGACCAATAATCCTCTATGCAGTTCCAGCCTGGGCTACTGCCCGAAAAATAGACAGACAAAAATTAAATGTACTCCAAAACAAAATCTTACGTAGCACAGTGAACGCACCCTGGTTCGTGCGAAATTCCCAAATTCACAAAGACCTGGATATCAATCCAATTCACGACCAAATCCTAATTTCTGCACACAACTTCTTTGAAGATATGAGAAATTCTCCCTATGAAGCTATTAAATCGCTTACAGACTATGACCCTACTATTGAGAACGTAGTGAAAAGACCTCGAACGATCCACCACAATTCTAAGTGGTGGTAGTGTATATAATGTATATTAAAAAAAAAAAAATTACTATTCCTTTGCAGTTACTATTCAAGAAAGATGAACTTTGCAAAATTAGGACTTTATTTTTCATCGATGAATTCTTCGTTTTACTACTTATTTAACCAAGATGTTTACTTTTTATTTTTAATATTTCGTATCGTGTGTTTTAAAATCAAAGTTCGTGGTAACACCAAGTGCTTACTCTCACTCATTAGCCCTAGTGAGCTACATGACCTCATTTTCACCTTTTACAGTTTCCTATTCATTTAATGATTATATCGCAAGTTTAGAAGATTTTCAAGTGTTTCAAAAGACATAAGACTCTTAAATTCACAAATAGATGTTGCTTTTACTATGTTCGAACTTTATTTATTGCCAAAAACTACAAAAACTTCATTTTTCGAACTCTGACTCCTCGATCAATCTAAATGCCGGACGCTGATCACGTGCTCCTGCTCTTCTTGACTCACGCAGAAGTTTAGAATTTCATTTCGCTTCTCGCCACCATTTACGTATATAATCACCCATGCTATGCCATGATTTGCAACTTAGCAAAACTTATTTTATGAGTTCTCTCATTTATTGATCTCGCCTTCGGGCGCGGTGTATTTTAAATACACCTCTTAAATTTTTAACTTTATGGCCTATGGTAAAATGATAATATACTGGTAAGAGCTCCTAGTAGCTAAAGCCAGCAGTAAAGATATGATCCAAGATCGTAGGGAGAGAGAATGAGAGTTTCTGATTTGCGCGCGCCTGCCTTTTTGGCCACTCTCTCTCTCTCTCAAAGCTGTTATTACGCTCGGCCGTACTCAGGCCCTTGATAGCTTCGCAGTCATCTGGTTTTTAAGGGGCCGACTGCATTAGAAACTTGATAGCTTCGGCTATATTTCTTAATCTCAGTTTTAGTTTAATTCTTAGTCTCTTAAGTTCAAGCTCAAGTGTCGGCTTTGATTGTACACTCCAAGACGGAGTTTTGTTAAATCTTATTGGAATAATAAAGGATTAGTTACCCTTCCATCTTGTTGTTTCTTGTCACACAAACTTAAGCGATTATTCGCTAACTTGTTCTTAAGATTCGTCACTTTCTACAGTAACTGAGATTTACACAGTGAAAATCTTACAAAGCTATTATACTGATTCTCCTTTCAAACTTTAAATGTACAAAACATGTACTCTTTTAGATCATTACTAATTCTTTTAGGAATTAGGGAATGTTTAGGAATTATTTAAATCTCAATAGAGAGATTAGCGCATCGTGGTAATATCGAAAATGACATTTGCAGTTGATTCAAAAGCACGGTTCATTAGAAGCCAATTAAAAAGACATTAAAAAGATATTAAGGACTTCAAAAGATAACAAGGAAAGATTAACTCATATTATAATTAATAGATGAATATTACTGACAATTTTTCTGTACTTTCAAACATTAAATTCTGCAGCACAAGTTAAGCGTATTACATCAATATTCGAAAGGAAAAGAACACATAAAACGGAAAAACAAAAATCGTTTGAAATGAAGAGACAAAATGTCAGGTATCCGATTACGTTCAACCCCCAAATTTTGGACAATAGGTACAAATAAATCTGTTATTGGTGTTATTTAGCACAGTATTACTTAAAAGTACTACTTAAAATGATAGAAATAGATGATAAACATATTATCAAAGTATAATTTTTTTCTTACATTTTGAATTAATAAGTGTTAAATTTCAGGATTACTAGATATGTTCCCACAAATTTATTTATCAATATTTTACTTTTAATTTTGTCATTTATATTTATTGTGGCATATGGACTAAAATATAAGTAATAAAGTAAAATGTCTATTAAATATACCTATTTGAGTGCATGCACAACCTATTTTTCGAGAAATCTCTCTCTTTTCATTTACCTCTGCAAAAATTTTAAATATGTCTCTAAGCCTGAATTATTAGTACGCTTAATTTACAATATTTCATAGAATATTTGAAGGAAATTTCATGAAGTTACTAGTAATATTTTAAGTTAAAATTTTTTCGGCAACAGGAAAGTTAAAAAATATCAGGGTTTTCAAAAATACGTAAATGCAATGCAAACATAAACAGAAGGAAAAGAATATATTGCCAAGTTTGAAAGTTAAACTGCAAAATTAATCTTGTTCCAGAGCATTTAATAACAAATAGTAAGGATTAAAATCATATTTTGAACATCCCCAAAACTATTGAAATGAAAAAGTTTCATTTTAAAGTTATTAAGAGCACTCTGTATACCTTTAGACATCATCGTCTGGATTCTTAAACAGAAACTTCCGGCTCACGGTGCAGAACAAGAACAGCCATAATTACATAATTCCGGCTCATGGTGTAGAATAAGAACAGCCGGAGGGGCAAAATAAAGGTAGTTTTGGAAAGCTTAATGTATAAGCTTTAAAATAAAGCAATAATTTTTTTCCAAACATTTCTGTCAAAAATGATGATTAGAACGTATTCGGATACCTTAAAGAAAAATATTTACAAGATTACTTGAGCACTGCCATTGAATTCAAACTCACGTAGAAATGTGGGTTAGAACTTCTGGCTTCCATTCTTTAAGGGGGGGATCAATGCATGGTTTAACAATATGTATATTCCGGATTAGCTACAATTAAACTGCATATTGTTGTAACACTGGATCCAGGTAATCTGCACTTAGTAAATCAGGAATTAGCAGTATTTAAAAACGTTTACAAAACAATAATATAAAAAGAAGTCTTAAACTCAGAACGACTAAATAACAAATTAAAAAAAAGAATTTAATATTACCTGTTCATCCGTTATTTTAAAATGTTAGCTATTTTTCATATTTATATAAGTTTCGAAGTAAGGCACTGGAAAGAAAACAAGAATTGTACTCAATCAAATAATTATAAATAAATATCCTAATATAAGCAGAAATAGGTGATTTTATTACACAGTTTAGTAAAATATGCTTCTAATTCTGATATCTACATTCATTTTACTGATCTTGCATATATATATAGGATATATGTAATAAACTATTCAATATAGTAGATTGCAAGTAGGGGTTTTAGAAAGAAGTACAAAACTTTGAAAAAAGGTGTTCATTTTTCAGAATAAATTTATATCATTCATAACAGATATCCTTCTTTTGATATTTCAAAATGAAACAACTTATAAACTCTTATTTATTATATTAATAATATGGTTAATTATTGTAATGTACAACCACATAACATCCACATAGCATACTTTAATATAAGTGGAAGGGCAATTACACTTCTGATTGAATTATACGATTACGACAAAGCACTTGAGGCCTATCTGCCTAAGGAAAGGGATGCCTTCGTGGAGGACTTTCTAAGGAAAACTAGCTCGTATACACGTTATGCATAGGGAAAACCACTAAAACGCCCAACCAGCTAGCCCGTTCGCAGGATTCGGTCCTCGGACTGAACTACCAGTGTTCAGCGACGAACTATCAGTGTTCTCTCCGCCGCTGGTGAGCCAATTACACTTTTGAAGCGATAAGTAATAGAACAGTTATATTTCAAAGGAAAGAGTGAAAAAAATTATTTACATGTGGCAGGGTTGATAAAATCTTATTGCATACCCAAGTCGGTAAAATGCCCTCTGCACGACTATAAAAATTACAGTAATTTTTCATTTGCTTCGTTTTCAAAAGGAGTGATTTTTGTTTACTATGCATTAATTAAGACATGAATGTTTCATAATTCGAACATTTTCATCAATATTCTTTTTTTAACTTCTCTGAGTTTCTGAAAAAATTTCCCATTTTGTTAGATATTCTCTGAGCATATCTCTGGCTTTGTAAAAATTTTCCATGTAAATAAGAAAACACTCTAGATTACACTTTCTACTTATGCGCCCTGTAACTTATACTTATTTCAGACAGCTTACGCATGCACTCGAAAACTCAAACAACATTTACTTAAATATATCAAGTACCTTCATCGAGTTTTCTATTATTTGAGAGCTTAAGATTAAATAAATAACATATATGCTCTTCCAACTCTTATTTTTCTTCTGAAATTGTTTCGCTCTTCAAAACTTCAAAAAATTCAAAATTTTTGTTTCGCCACGTTTCCTGTTTCAATAAAAGGGCTAATTGTAAGTGTTCTAGTAGTCAATTGGTATATAAGTCAATCCCTAGATTTTATCCGTATAATCAATTTTAAGTACATCAGCCGTATAAGTTCTTTCTGTACAACATCTAGAAAACTTTAAAAAGAGGGAAACTTTACCCAGAAGAGCTGGAAAAAAAGAAATATGCCGAAATTCCAGTATACTGTAAGAAAGGTAAGTGTGCTACTGCAGAACTTGAAATTTCTATGAAATAAAGGAGTTTTAAAAAATGGACAAAACGGGAGCATCGTCAGGCGCAGTGCAACTAGCATCTTTGCTCTGAAGTGCATAGAGTCCAAGCCGAACGTTTAAGATTTTAAGCGTTTGTAGCAAGTGTAGTCAATTTATGTAAATAAAAACTACATTTACTATTATATTACTATTACTATATTTTACTCATGTAATTTTTTTAATGTTTCGCCTGCACATACAGTCGCCATTCCGTTTACAGAATTTTCTTAGAATAAAAACATTTTTTCAGTTTCCATAAGTAAAAATGCTTTTCTTTCACTTAATATTTTATTTGGATTGATAAATATATATATATAATTTGGAATTTTTATTCAGTATAATCATTAACTTGAGTAGTAAATATAAATACAATTCATTATGATATTTTAAACCCTGCGTGACGTTCTACGAGAAATGTTTTGGCTTATGCATTACATAATACGGTAAATTCTTGGTTTAATTGAAATTCAAAATATTATTTTTATAGCTCAGAATGAATAAATAAATAAATAAAATATTTCAGTATGTTCTTGAGAGCTTTGCAATTAAATAAAGAGAAATTTAGGAAAAAACTTACCTGTCATTTTTCCTCAATTGAAGTACATCGCTAAATTAATGAAGCTTTTTTTTTCCTCTCTTGATTCTTTTGCAATCTATTATACTGCTGAAAAATAGGGAAACCATTTTATATCTGTTAATGCGCATGCGCCCACTATGATCTCAAGCGTGACAGGATGGCGATCTACAATAAGTCGGACGCTATCCAAATCAAAACAGCGTAATTTACTTCTTTTATATATTTTTTGATAATAAAAATGGATCTTTGTTCACGTCATTCAAAAAATTGCTTTGCTGGATTCATGCTGTAAATCCGGTGGAGGACAACATCTGGGTTTTATTCTCGTGCAACAGTCGTCATAATTGACCGCATTCTATCAGAAAGAAATCTGAAGTTTTCTATTCTTTCAATAAAGTAGAATCAAAATTATGATTCATGCCATTCAAAACAAGAATTTTTCCGTCTTTATTTGGGACACTGTGGGAAGGTAACAACTCACTTCTGTAACTTTTCATATATGTTTAGGATTCATCATTTTATTGGTGAAACTAAATTTAAAATGACAATTTTGGATGCATTATTCCTGTTTTCAAAAATTACCCAATATTCGGTGGCGTCTCGCATAACGAAATGAATCCGTTTCCAGACGACGTTTGTTAAGCAACATACCTTTCCTACAAGTTATTACAGAAATAATTTTAACTCGATTTCAGAGCCCTGCAACTTAATTATCATCTTTAACTTCATCTGTGCTTATTTGAGCTAATTATTATTTTGATTACCTTTATTTACTTACTATAAAACTGCACATGGTTAGTTTCCTCAGGAAAAGATGTCTTATTATGAAAGCTGTTCCAACAGTTAATTTAAAGCAGTCAACATTTTTAATGTAATAAAACATTATTTAAAATGCAACAAAATCAAAATAGTCAGTACATTTGAATGACCCTCAAAATTTCCTATGGAATAGAGTAGATTATTTTAATAGACATTAAAATAATGGACATTTAAATGCTTTGTAATTGCAGCATAATATTATTAACCATGTGGGATATCTATTAAATCCAAACTAAAGTAATAACTTTGTCTGCGACTATAATATCTGGTGGTAAGAGACAAATTCTACTTTATTGAAAGAATGGAAAACTTCAGATTTCTTTCTGGAAAAATCTATGAAAAATACAAATGCAGGATATTTGACTAAGGTAAAGTTTAAGCTAATTGTACTGATATTTTATTTTTAGCATGGAGAAGAACCCAAAGAAAATTTTCAGAAGTAGGCAAATCATGGGAACCTGAAATTCCTTATTCTAACAGTGGGAGATACGGAAAATTCTCTTCCGAGTCGTACGTCTCCTCTACCCTCCAATCTCCAAACCAAGTCCTACAACTTTCAACATGGTAACAGTAATGATTTCAAAAAGTTGAATTTATCTCCACTGAAGCAACAATACATTTTTACTTAATTTTGAAAATGTAAGTTAATTTTAAAACATTCTGGCCCCACTAGTGGTTGAGTATAAGATCTCTGAATACCAGTAATTGACTCACAAACGGGCAGGCTACTTGTGTAACATGAATATAAGCTAATTTTTCTTAGAAACTATTCCACAAAGCCACCTTTTTGCTAAAGAATGAAATCTAATAATGGAATTGCATTGTCAAAAAGTATAAGCCACTACCTTTTTAAATTTATGAAGGTTGCTCTAAGCTTTTACTATTCGTGATATAAAATTGTAAACGAATTTTGTAAATAGAATTATTTAATCCCTTGTTTCCATTAAATTATATGATAAATTATTTTTCTTCTTTCGTTTCTTGGTTTCATAAATTATTTCATGAGTTAAATGGTAACCTGTTTTATAAACAGCTCTTCTTTTTAATTTTGTATTTAATTTTAAATTAATTTAATTTTTTATTTAAGTTGCAGCAAGAAAAATATAATTTAATGGATTTCTTGAATCGAAAAAGTTTAAATATCAAATTCTGTGGAAAATGAGCTCGAATCTAATGCACACGTAGCTTACCTTATGCGTTTAGAAAATCGCGAAAATACCCATCTTCCTTTCTTCAGAATTTGTATTACTAGTGTTCAGCGATTTCCACTTATCATCCACCCTTAGGCTTCATGCTAATGAAATATAACATATTCTAATAAATTCGGCTACTGTGACGTTACTAGAAAGCAGGTATACCGTAAAAATGGTAATAAATTAATGAAAAGACTTTATGTACAACTTCAGAAGCTCAGTGATAAATAATACTAAAGATACCTTGCCTTTCCCTTCTTTGCTAAAAATCTTAAAAGTATAAAACAGTGGTTCTCAACCTTCTTTGAGCTATTCAATCCCTTTCACCGTTGCTAGACAATTCCCTCCTTCTCAACCTCCCAAACTCGAAAAGGTATATATATACATATATACATTTATTTAGATTTATATTATTTTCTAACGTGTTTTATAAGTTAAACAGCAAAAAGTATAGAAAACATTCATAAATACTAAAACTAGAATGAACGTAGTTTTTATATCCATAAATTAAAACTAATTCATACTAATTTTATTTACTTTCATATTTATGGATTAGTTAGTTTATGAATTAAATGAATTCAGAAATTAAAGCTAAGCATTAAAAAATTTAGTACTAAATAAAAGTGCAACCTCATTCCCCCCCTCCCTGAAGCTATGAACCCCACCCCACCCCAAGGAGAATTCCCTCCTGGTTGAGAGTGCTTGTTTTAGATCCTTTCTGTGTGTTTACTTCTTAACGCGGCGCTAGAAAATATCACCATATCGGGCAGTTCTTCCGTTTATGAAACTTTCTTGCGTGTTCTAGCCCTCTGACCGGCACGCGGTTCCACTAAGGAAGCCCAAATTTCCAAAAATTGCCGTGAGAAAGAGGTATTCTCTTGATTTTAATGCTTAAATGCCCCTGATTCTTTACACTTCGAGTTATGTATTTTAATGCATTGCCTTAACTTCTTAGACATATTTCAAGATAAACGTATATATACGTTCTTACAGTTATGACAAAAAATATTCTAGGCCGTACATATACGCGCACCTCTTAAGAAGTCGCTCGAGGACAGGAGAGACGATGCTAAAGAAGAGGGCGGTAACGAGGGCCGCATCCACAGAAAATTAATGAGATATGAAATGATATATAAAAATGAAATGGCCTCGCCGATCAGAAGGCTAATATAAAGAAAAGAAAAATATTGAAAAAATTGAGAAAAGCTATTCCTTGCATAAATGGCAGCTGTCTTGTATGAAAGAAGTGTACTGTATTTGGTACAATACTCCTGAATACAGCTCTGTAATCAGCGAAGAAGTAGGTCATAACATTTCTGAGTATGGATCTGACGTTTCTTTGAAAATTTGTGGCTATTTTTTAAATTGTATTAACTTATCAATTAATGGGTCTAGTAGTGGATTGCCATTTTCGAAAATAAATTTCTTGATCATATTTTATTCATTAAATAAAATGCTACTAATCTGATTGCTTATTGGATGCATTCATGGCTATGAAATTCAGCTGTCTGGCACCTAACTATCTGATATTCCTGGTTATTAATTGTCTTTATATTCTATTATTGTTAAATTTATAACATTCGAAAGAAATAGTTTAGAAAATACGTCTTGCTGAATAACTGTCAAATGCTTTTGCAAAAAAAGTTCTTTCTTTGTATGTCTCAACACTATATAAACCAGTGATTTTCAACCTTTTTTTTCCCACGCACCACTTTCATCATTGATAAAAGGTCATTCCCCTCTTCCGTTCTAAAACTTGAAATATACATACTGTATTGTTATTCAATTTTAGATTATTTTTTACTGTTTCTTATAAATTAAACCAGAAAAAATATAGATAATGTTGATGAGTACCAAAATGAGTAAAAGCAGTTTTTGCATTCAGAAATTAATATTAAATACTTAACAGGTAAATAAAATCTTGACCTCATTCTTTCCCTTGAAACTGTGAAATTCTTTCTCTCGCGGGGGGGGGGATGGGGGGGGGGATTTTCATTGGCTGACAACCTCTGGGATAGAGCAATAATTTTGAAATCAAATTAAAGATTTCGACTAGCTATTTAAAGTATATGTGTTCTAACAGAAAACACATACTGAAAGGAGAGGGCAGAATTTAAATTCAGCTGGAAGCCAGCTCCGATACTACTCAGTTTTTAACTAAGAACGTAGCTCTGGCGGGAGATTCGATGAGCTCCAGTATTTTGTTGTACAACTGAATCGCCGTATGTCATTAACGCATAGCTTTAGCAATTAATAAAACTGGTATTGGAGCAAGATATTGAATACACACCTCACATTCCTATACCGGTCTGGTCAAAAAGATTTGGGCTGTATTCATCTGGCCAAAATGGCTTCATATGCGAAGAGTACTGTTCAAAAAACATACTTTTTCATCCTCGGGATCATGTCTTGCAACTATTGAATTGCATTTATTTATTTTTGTGAGACCTAACTTTTAATTTATTCATAATTTAGTCACTTTCTATCTGTTTTAGTATTTCAACTAATTTTTATGACACTTTAATTTATTATTTACTCCTTTATTTAATTTATGAATACTTTAATTATCTGACTTATTAATACATTTATCTCTTTTCATTTTACATAATTTTAACTATTTCTTATTTATTGCTTGATTTAATATTATACAGCTGGCCATTAAAATCTCTATACGAGGAAGGAAAGCAAATAGCCGAAACGAATTTACTATACGTAAGCAGTATAATTATAGGAACACATGACAAAATTTGTAGACGATTTAGGGTACACAGCGTACAGAATTTAGTGCACACAGCTACCAACTCTGACAGCAACAACGCCTGTAATCCAGCTGAGCATCCAGTCGAACTAAGCATGGATGACAGATATGGGTACTTATTCCATGATTCTCCAGGATTTCATCAATCTCCATGATTTCATCAATCGTAATGGCTAGTGTGGTGCCCTGCCGGTCTTTAGGAAACCTATTACCAGATGTTATAAATGGTGAAAGAGCTGGAAAATATACTCGCCGTTGCAAGAGTCGAAGTACGAGCTACAGGATAGCACGAATAACAAGCGATCGTGCATTATCTTGTTGAAAGAGGGCGTCACTCCGATCTCGAAGATGAAGAGAAACGTGTTTTAACGTGTCAGAAATGGAGTGTCTACATTACTGCTATGCAAACGAGAGTTGACTGGGATATGTACCCAATATCATCATATATCAACACACCAAGTGCTGTGTCCGCATGGCGATGACGAATGCAAACTAGTAACGTTCATTCTCCTCGGTAACTTCATCACATGAATGCAGTCATCATGATGCTGTACGTAGGACCGGGATTTGTAAGAAAAGATGATATCCTTTGTCCGGAGTCGTTGTTCGTCACCCCGCTGGAGACGCGCCTGTCTCTGCTGCAACGTTTAGGGAAGCGGAAGCAATGGTCACCGAATTTGCAGTCCACGGTACTACATCGCGCAAACATTATCGTACCCAAAATTGACTTAGGCGACGTAGTTGTACGAGCCAGGAAGGCTAAGAGGACAAGTCTGGGTTGGAACCGTTAATATTCCCCATGACATTCAATATGGCCCTTCTGAAGCCGATTCCATACTCGCTGGAAAAGACATTTGATCCAAATCAAGATCAGCAGCAAACTCGCAGAACCATAAACCTCAGTGTCAACAAGCCAGCAGTAGAATCCCGACACGTGCCACGGCCAACTGGGGAGTTTCAGAAGGTCAAGCACGTGCTGATAGTAATTTTCTTTCTTAAGGGATTATCACATCTGGAGTCGCGAGCGGCTAGGCGGTACATTTCCGAGAAACGAGATTCTGGTAGCATTGGCTTAAACTGGAGGGTTCTGAGAAAAATTAGACAGCGTTTCGACTAGTCGAGGAAGCGATGCCCTGGCTAAGCAGAACATTTTGAAACTTTGCCGAAAAAGTTTCCTTTGCAGCTGTGTCCCCATAGAGATCAACCAATCAGACGAAATTCTGCTTCTGAAGAATTACAAGTAATTTCCAATATGGCAATGGCTATTGTTTCCCGCCGTGGACAATAAAAATGAAAGCTGATTTTACCGAACAAATACTATATTTGTAACAGTGTATTTGTATGCTGTAACACTATATCTGTATGCTGCTATCTATATTTGTATTATGAACACTATATTTGCATGCTGTGTTTTTATAATATAACTGTTTAAATAATTTTTAAAATGCTTATATACTAATTAAATTTATAATCGTGGAAATTTCAGAGTTGACAGTATTTCAGGACATTCTTGTACTTTTAATGATCTTTTTACAAATGTTTTTTCTCCAAAAGTTTGCCAAATTTGTCATATTTCATACTGACCAGCGTATCGTGTAGAAATATTACCATTGTTGTATATTAAAAGAATTTTTATATTAAATATAAGGTGAAAAATTTTTTAATCTCTTTATATGTGAGCGACTTTATGTTTTCACTTATCATTTAAATTGTTTATTGCACACTCAGCGACATAGTGTAAACAACATAAAAGGTGCATAAAAAGGAAAGCATACCTTAATGTCATAATGAGTATACTCATTAAATTCGTACGCTATTATTTTTATGTTATTAATGAAATACTGTTTAGATTATAAATCCATTAGAAACTATACTACATACTGAAATGCTACATATTGAAACATTTCAAATTTATGAATTTATTAATATGCATAATGAAAAACTTTTGTAGATACATTCATTAATATAAATCTTATTCATTACATTAATACTAATAAACATCCATCAACAACTTCTAAACCATCGCATTTCTCTCTCTCTCTCTATGTATATGTAAATATATAACTTATCAGATGTGTACTTACATATAACTATAAAAATGAACATTGCCAAAATATTTATTTGAAGTCACTCTAATTCATATAATGATCATGTAATTAATATCAACTGTAGTCATCAATTCTTTGCGCATTAGCCTGGCTATGGAATACACAGTTGAAAAATAATTTATGAGCACAGACACGAAAAAGTGTACATGTTATGTTTTGGGATAATACATAATTATATCATATGTATGGTGTGGTGTGGTGTATTTAATTATGGCAAAGCACACTAGGGCTATCTGCCTAAGAGGAGGGATGCCTTTCGTGGAGGACTTTCTAAGGGAAACTGGCTATCATATGTATGATTTACGTAGTATAAGCATGAGTTATGAATAATGGGAAAGGGAAACTGGCTCGTATACACGTTACACATGGGGAAAACCACGAAAACGCCCATGCAGCCAGCCCGTTCGCGGGATTCGAACCTCGGACCGAGCTACCAGTATTCAGCGACTTTACCGCTCGGCCGCTGGTGAGCCTGAAAAGAATGAGAGCGATACAATACGCAATTTGGAAACAAACTTTTTTCTTTTCAATCTGAGCAATAATTGATTCTCATTTGGCTTTCAGTCTATTTACTACGTGAAAGCGGTAACCCAGTTTCGTACATTTAGAGAGAATGGGGATTCTGAGAAATGATTAATATCAAATTACAAATTATTATCAAATCAAATTACAATTTCACCAAGAACCGTGAAATTGTTTTCCTTCAAGAAAGAAAATGAAGCTATTGCAGTCGTCCAAAAAGGTGTATTTTACCCTCCACCCGAATTTACAAAAATGCACTTGAAATGAAGTTTTATACCACCGCAAAAGTCATACGGAGGTACAACGTAGAAAATAGTCAGAAAACTGCCTTCACTTTTTTTATCTGGAAACCGACATTCATGCAGAAAATACTCAAAGACTATAGTATTCTGCGAAATAGAGAACTCAATATCAACATGGTGCGGCTCTCCAACATCTCGGAATCGTATCTGGCTGAGTTCCTGTGGCGGCAATAGAAAAACCATAATAATATCACACAAATTATAAAAATAATGAAATGCATAAATAATGCAAAAGCCATCTGGAGACCGAATCATTTACGTTTACAGTTAAAAATGCTGCCAAAATGCGTGGCAGATTTATAATGGAAACGTACCATATTTCATGCCATATTAACTGCTATTGATAATTTATAGCCTCCTGAAACCTGGAAAATAAATTAGTTTTTTTATAGGAATTTGTATTTCCGGAAATAATTTTAAATGAATTCTTATTTTACAATTCCATTACTTATTAGCATTTCTTTTCCTGGAGACGAAGGCTCGGCACCTAAATTTGGCGACACGTTTGCCTTGGTGCTTGGGCGTCGATAAAACAGATAAATACCAATTTAAATAACAGAATAATCCAATTTTCCATTCTTACGAATATTACATGAAAATTATTTCTAGACATCGGTTTTTTTTTTTTTTTTTTTTTTTTTCTAATTCAAACAATTATCAGTATTTCTTATCAAAACTATGAATGCGTATTATTTGTGTACCAGCTTGAGGGCAATGTAGCCAACGATGATAAAAAATGGCTGGCTGAGAGACAGAAAATCTTCATTATCTTTCCCAACTCCAGCTGTAGTATACTTTTTGCTTCTCACGCCAAATTCTGCATACAAGTCTTTCGTCTTAAAATATTAAAAATTATTGTTTCAATATGTATACTAGAGAAAGGATACTCGAGTTCCCAGTTCTTCAAAAAGATTCCAAATTCGAAAGCTCGAATCTTACCTTACGACCTAAAAGTCGTTGAAGTGTTAATTCAAATCTTTGGAAAGATTGCCTTCAATAGACACATTCATTGAGGGAGAGTGCGGAATATCAGTTGTCGAATATTTAATGGACTCATCATGAATATCACCTTACGGTCATCCTAAATGTTATTCAATTTCTATGGATTATTAAGCATGCCGTAGAAAATTTTTATGTATGTTAATTGTCAAAATATCCTTCGCCTCTGTTTGCTAGCTTTTATTAAAATTATTTAAAACTATTATTTTTAAAAAATATTATTATTACTACTTATTATTATAATAAGTAGTAAATATAATTAGAAGTATTATTATAATAAAAAGTAATAGCCACTATTGTTATAATAACTATTATTATTACTACTTATTATTAAAAAAATTTTATTTAAAACTGTAAAATATTTCAACTGATATTCAGCGAAATTATGCTGAAAAAGTGAATCTCAAAATTTAGGTAAGTGTTTTAATTATGTATACTTTGCACACACAATCACACACAGAACACACACACACAAAAAAAAAAAAAAAAAAAGAAAGAAAAAAAGAAAGAAAAAAGAAAGAAAAAAAGAAAGAAAAGAAAAAAGAAAGAAAAAAAAGAAAAAAGAAAGTTCTACATCATCCGTTCTATTGGGCCGATTGATATACCTCGAAAGCGCGACTTGCAGTAAATATTTGATAATATATTAATCAAATATTTGATTAAATAAAGAAAATATTTGATTTTTATATAGTATTATTAGTAAATATTTGATTTATATATAGTAGTGTTCTAATATAGGTATTTTGACACAAAATCGGAAATTTTCTGAACTGGCATGCCAATTTTTTTCTATATTTTGATTCGACGATTCAAATTATGCCAAGTTTCGTAAAAATCGCAAGCATAGTTCTTAAAATATTAACTCTTAACATTATAGCTTGTCAATATTAATTGAATTTGGCATATATTTATTAATATATCTTTTTTATTAAATTTACTTGATCCCATCTTTCAGAGTCCGAAATTTAGGTTTAATCCAACTAGAAGTCGCGAACATTTTCTGATTTACTTTTTTAATTTGTAAGTTTTAGTAATTTTTATAAATGTTTCGAAAATACTTTTGAATTATAACGTATAAAAGTTTTATAATCATCTCCTTAAAGCATGCATATGTCTAGGCATATGTGCAAAAAAATTAGAGAATTCTTTATTCAAAATTTGCTTAGATATTCGTGAATTTATATATAGGCACATTTTGAATTTTGGCATATTTCTTATAGACAATAATAATGCCAAATGTAGTTTACGCACTTTTTTAAAATTATTTGATAGAACGAACGATACACCTTTTTTCCTGTTCGTGCACAATGAAGGGGAAAGGAAAATAGGTTGCAAACTGAAAAAGTGCGCCAAGATAGGCATATTTCTTATAGACAATAATAATGCCAAGTGTAGTTTACGCACATTTTTAAAATTATTTGATAGAACAAACGATACACCTTTTTTCCTGTTCGTGCACAATGAAGGGGAAAGGAAAATAGGTTGCAAAGTGAAAAAGTGAGCCAAGATAAGTTTTTAAATTTCTTAGTAACTTTCTCACCAATTTTTACGAAATTTAATACTTAGGCATAATTTGAGTTGTAGAATCAAAATATGGAAAAAAATCCGTCTGTCATTTCAGAAAAAGTCCGATTTTGTGTCAAAATATCTATGTTAGAGCAATGCTATATATAAATCGAATATATATCCTACGTAGCATTTTCGAGAAATGAAGAATGCAAGTTGAATTTCGTCAATCGGCCCAGTAGAGCGGGAGATATAGAACTGTCCCATTTTTTTCATGTGTGTAAATTCCATTTGTACCTTCTGAATAAATACAGCATATTTAAAAAACAACGTTCTTAAAGTTATTCTTTTTTAATCAGAAATTTTTAATTTCTTTTTAAATGTTAAAAAAGATTAGAATCAAATAACAGTTTTTTTTTTTTTTTCCTTTTATTTTCATTCTTATATAAAAGATCCCATATTCAGAAAATTCGATAATAATTTAGGATCTGGTTTCGAAAAAACTAAGAACTCTAAATACACACAAAATACACATGTAAGGCAAAAATTTAATTTTAATTTTAAGCATCTTATTCTACTTAAAATTTACTCTTAATTATGAAACTCTCCTTTCAATTTATATTTAGTTTTATCATATATCATGAACGGTTTTATTTCAACTAAAACTTAAAACGCAGTTATTGACTAGAGATCTGGATGAGAAAATAAAGTAATATAAATATAACTGCTGCTCAACTACTCATGATACCCTCCCTACCTTTCATTCGAAAAAAATATATGAAAATTCTCCTTAATTAAATAAAAAGATTCAGACTACCAATCCAGTCTCATTTTTCATAGCTAATAACATAATTCGATAGAAACACCCTCTAGTGAGAAAATTAAGAATCTTGTAGTTGGTTACAAAATTTCAAACTGAAACCATCGCGCATCTAACACTTACCTCCGCCAGGTAAATAGTAAACATGTAGTATAGTGTACTAGAAGATGTAGTGGAATTATCGGCTCAGTTTTTGGTAATTGAATTTTGACATCCCGCTAGATGGTACTATGATCGCATGTGCCCTCAAAATCCGACATATTTATTGCAAATTTAATTCTGCTTAAAGATCTAAATTCAGTTCTTTTACACGAAATTTTTCCCCTTTTAAAGAAACATATTTATTTACTTTTATGGCACCTTTGAATGTTCCTAGAAAAGAAGAGGTTCTCTTTTATTTTCTTACATACTATATTATCGAAATTCTGTACTTATAATACTTCTCCTTTAATTGGTTCATACTCATTTTAGTAATTCTGGTAACGATAACTTTATACATAGTGATAATTATATTCATTCAACTCCTTCGTTTAACTTAATTCTTAGAGGAAAATGAAATTAAATTTCTAAAGAGTAACATTTATAAACTATCGTAGAAATAAAAATAGAGGAAGCTGGATAATTAGAGATTACCATTGCTTTAATAATTTTGCCATTTCCTAGATTTGACACTAAATATTCTTAATTTAAAACTCAAATTTTGGCTTGAACAAATTTGTTGGTAAAAGGGTGTAAAAATTTTATAAATATGTTTCAAACATTTTTTGAAGTAATAAACATTACAATATCTTCCATTTAGATTATTTGATAAATAAAATCTCTATTCTAAATTGAATGTGATTATATTCTGGCACTTGCACTATATAAAATTCAGTACATTGCATAACATTTTTATATACAATAAAAGCTCGACTATGGAAAAAGCTCGGGAAATACCAAAAGCCATATGAGGGAAAATTCAGTGTAGTTGAGTGTATAAAATCTGCAACTAACAGTAGAAAAGCCAAATGAACGGAATACGAAATTTCTGGTCTAAAATCATAAGAAGTCATCTTATTTGCTATCAGCCTGACTATCAAAAGCATAATCTACACTCATGTCCATAAATTAAGTATAATGCAAAAACAGGCAAAGAAGAGTTAGAAGCAAAACAAATTTGACTTATTTGTAAAGCTTATTTATAAAACAAAAGGTAAAGAGCAAAAAAAGATGCTATATGTTTGATATTATTACAAAAAGTAGCGATTTTTCCTCCCTGGAGCAAATTACAAAAAAAAAAAAAAAAAAAAAACTATTTACAAAAACCAACAATACATGGTTGGTATGATTGTTAATACATTGTATGTCTCCCAGACGATGCAATACAGTCCGTACAACGCCTAGGCATGCTGAGTATCAAATTATCGATCTGATCTTGGGGGATATTACACACACTCAAAAAGCAATGCTCTCCGAAGTTCCGGTAGACATGTAGGAGGAGGTTGACGGGCTGCAACTCGTCGGCCAAGCATATCCCACACGTTCTCTACTGGATTCAAGTTCGGTGAGAATGCTGGGCAATCCATACGCGTGATATTCTCCGATTGAAGCATATTCGCTTACGATGTTTGCACGGTGAGGACGGGCGTTGTCATCCATAAACACAAATTGTGTGCCCATGGCACCCCGAAACAAACGTACATGTTGTTCCAGAATGACGTCCCGATAGATTTGGCTTGTCATGGTTCCAATTTGAACATGCAAGGTCAGTTCTGGAACCCAGAATAATTCCACCCCCAAACGAGCACTCCTGCACCACCGTAACGGTGTCGTTCAATGATGTTTTCTTGGTGGTAACGGGTACCTGGAGCTCTCCATATGAAAGTCCGGCGAGAATCAGACTGCAAGCTAAACCTGGACTCGTCGGAAAACATCACACAAGCCCACTGTTGCGGTGTCCACAATGCATGCTCTCTACTCCAGGCTAACCGCAGGCGACAGTGAGTTGCAGTAAGTGGAACGCATCTGACAGGTCTACGAGCATATAGACCAATCTGCCCTAAGCGTCTGTACACGGTCTGCCTTGAAATTGTCGTACCAGTGGCTGAAGAGAGCTGACGAGACAGGTCTGAGGCTTTGCTCCGCCTCAGTCTGACTAAGGTCTGTTTCTTTTGGCAGTAACTGCCAAATACCGGTCCTCATTCGGCGTTCTAACTCTGGGGCGACCTGTGCTGTAACTCACATTACCATCATCTTGGAATCGTTGCCAAAAGCCTGGAGATGACACTCTGGGCAATTCCAAGTTCGTCTGATACTTCCAGTTGGTACGCCCACATTCCAGACGGCCGATAATTTTACCTACGTAAAAAATCATCCAAATGCGTCCTATGTGTCATAACTATTCGGTTATTGCACTGAAATGCTTATAAAGCGCTGCGAACAATTTTACTCTTTGCCTGTATTCCTTATATCACTCTCTTACACTCTCGTCATTGTGACATACCATCGGTGTCATCTGGTTACTTCCTGAAATTTGCATATGATTCTTGAAGATGTGTGTAAAAAAAAAAAAAAAAAACAAAAAAAAAAAAAAAAAAAAAAAAAAAAAAAAAAAAAAAAAAAAAAAAAAAATGGACATGTTAAATTAAAATAAAAGTTTTACGAATGGTAACTAAATTTTTAAATACTTTTTCTAAACAAATAAATAACTTCTGTAACAAACGAATAGTATTATAATTAAACAAAATACAGCTATTTGATATTATCAATTTGATTCATTCCTACTATTTGTTACAAATTTATCAACCTGGTTGAAGAAATTATCTTAGCAGCAAATGCATTTTTAAATTACAATTATTAGAAACAATGGAAAAAGATCCCATGAATGAGATATTTACTTTACAAAGATAGATTAGAATTTAAAAAAAAAATAGTTCATGAAAAGCGTAATAATTCAATGCATTTTTGTTTAAAGTTGTTTAAATAAAAAATTCACATTTTTTAACTCCTTGATTTCACGATTTCAGTTTATTAATGTGTTGTATAAAATAAAGCTTACACTTAATTTTGTGCAAAAAAGCAAACATAGATTGATGCGGATTTTCATCAAAACTTTAAAATCTGTTTCTGACTAAGGTTACTTTTTCGGCTAAAATGAAATTTTGTAGTGGCATGTTTCTCTTCAGTTTCATAAGCTTTTTTGTGTTAAATTAAAGACCTGTTTCCTTTCTCCCTCCTCCCTGCAGGGAAATAAAAAATGGGAAGAACCTAGAAAATTTATTAAACTTTAATTTAATAAAAATTAGACTTAATTAATAAATTACAAATAAAGATCAAACTAATGTAATCAAATTAGCTACCAATTTAATAATCAAGTATTTAAATAAGTGTAGCATTAAAGAATTCAGTTTTCTGTCGGAAATTTAAAAAAAAAACTAATAATAAAAAAATAAAGGAAAATTTCAGAGTTTTCAGATTTTATATTACGCCCAAAAGGACTTTTTTAACGTTTTGTGTGCTACCTTTATTTATTAAATATCGTGTTCTTTGCACGTAAACCATAAAATTCAATTTAAGAGGAATATCGCAAAATAATTTTAAAATGAACATATCTTTACAATTTCCGATACACAGTTTCGCGTAGCTGGAGATAAAAATGTTTTTTTTCGTACAGTATTGTCATTGCTCGCTTTGAAATCGTTGAGTTTGCTAATCAAAAATTCGTTTAAGTGTTACAAAATACGAAATTGATAATAAAACAAATTTCAAATTCTAAATTAGGGCTTACAGATGCCCATATTCGGATGAAAACGTACGTTATTCAAAATTTGATGGCTGTAGGAACCGTTGTTTTATCACAATGCGAGAAACATACATACATTTATGCAGATTCTTCATTATTTGATTTCTTTAAATATAACACAGGGCGGTAATATTTTGTGGTAACAAATTGGAAAATGAACCGACATTTATAGTGAACGAACGTAAAATGCAAAACGAAATTAATAGCCCTTTTGGGCTAGCGCTCTTTGGGCTAAAAACAAAACTTCCCTTTCTTCTTCCATCACGGAAGAGAAAACCTGCATTCGTACTTTAAAAATTGCAACAATGTACAGTACGTAATTTTATAGCTCGCCAGTGGATGTGCTTGAAAGTTTCAGATGCCTGATTTTTGAAAAAAAGATGCATTAAAAATAGCTTCTGCCGCTAACTTTATATTTTTAAAACTCTAGAACTGAAAAAAAGTTCTTAAAATTTCGCATATTTTATGTAGAAAGATTTGGAAGCCTCCATGAGAGAAAATCCAGAGGCACATACTCAGTTTGTCCTCGTGAAGTCAGGTCTAATGATCATTAACAAATCATTTTTATTATTTTAAAATTTTAAATAAGTCTGTTGGTTGGAATACAGGTGGTGATCTATTTTGATAGTATGGGAATATAACCATCTGTCCTTATCTCAAAGAGGAAGGCTTAAGAAAAATCCTTCTTTTGGAGGCTGAATTCCTGTCTATAACGTGGAAAAAAATGATATTCCTTTGGACTCTTACATTAGTATTTGTAAGCCTCTGCGGTAAGTAATTGTTGAGTGTAAAATATACCGTTTTCTTTATAAATATATCCTATGCCGTCAAAGAGACACCATATTCCCTTGAATTTAAATATATCCTATTATTTTGTATTTTTATATTTTTATTTGTAACTCTTTGTGATGAATGATAAGTAATTCCGAAATATACCTTTTGTGTAAAATACGCGGTACCTTTTGTAAATATACCGTATTCCTTTGTATGCAGATAGCATTTGGACATTAACGTTATTATTTTTAACATTTTGCGGCAATTAATTATAGAGTGCAAAATATAATGTTTCTTTAAAATAATGCCACATACTGTAAACTATGCTTTACTATTTGTTGACTATAAAATATGCAAGGCTTGAATAAAAAACGCGCTAAATTTTTGAATTCCAGATAAGTGTGAAAAATATTTAGGCCTGAATACAAGTAACTGAATGACGTTTATTTGGATACTCAGTTCTCTTCATTTCCCCCCCTCCTTTTCTTGTCATTTAATATATTTTTATCTTTAATCAAGTAACAAAATCTGATGTGTACACCACATGATCCAGATTCGATCTTCCAGATGATAGCTGGACATGCTAACCCTTACATCACGACAGCGTACAAGGGGGAATGAGATAAATCCTTATTACTGTTGCCTTGAAGGTTCAGTTGGGCGAGTTTTTCTGTTTAATTGAATGATGTATGGCGAGCATTTTATTAACTGAAATTATTTTTTTATTTTAGTAACTTTGCATGCATCACATTAAAAATTGGATTTCGTATTTGCAAATTCACTTTTCTTAACCTTAGTGTTTTAACCGTTTCTGTAAAATTCTGTGGCTCATTTCAAGAAAATCTGTAATTCGAAGTACACGTCTAACAAGGATAGCTATAGGACTTCCTGACATCAGTCCCCTAGGAACTTTGACGGTGATCAAACATGCGAAGAAAAGAGTGCAAAGTGTGTCATTTCACAATCACCCGCAATCTCCAGAAGGCGCATAAATTGGGGTGTGGTGGAAGTATTTTTAGAAGACAAACAAATGACAAATATATAAACGGTGTTTCATTATAGTTTTTAAAAAATTAAAGTTTTGTTTTCCAATTTTTCTTTATTTCAATGGTCGATGAATAATATTTTGATAACATTTTAGTGTGTAAATGTAAAAGATGTATAAACACTAGGCGTATAAACTGCGAATCACTGTAATTTTAAAACATGAAAGCCACGTCTTCCAGTTCGTCCTTTGACATATAAATGCAAGACATACACTGAAGTGACAAAAGTCATGGGATACCTCCTAATATTTTGTCGGTCCTCCTTTTGCCCGGCGAAGTGCAGCAACTCGACGTGGCATGGACTCAACAAGTCGTTGGAAGTCCCCTGCAGGAATATTGAGCCATGCTGCCTCTATAGACGTCCATAATTGTGAAAGTGTTGACGGTGCAGGGTTTGGGGCACGAACTGACCTCTCGATGATGTCCCATAAATGTTCGATGGGATTCATGTCGAGCGATCTAGGTGGCAACTCTACGCAGACGTCGCTGGTCTCGGTCGTTAAGTGCAGGTGGTCGGCCACTGCGCTGTCCATGGTGGGATGTTATGTCTGAAATTAGATACTCTCGGCACACTCTTGACACTGTGGATCTCGGAATGTTGAATTCCCTAACGATATCCGAAATGGAATGACCCATGCGTCTAGCTCCAACTACCATTCCGCGTTCAAAGTCTGTTCATTCTCGTCGTGCGGCCATAATCACGTCAAAGCCTCTTCCCATGAATAACTTGAACACAAATGAAAGCCCTGCCAAAGCACATCGCATTTATACATTTTCTACGCGATACTACTGCCATCTGTATATTTGCATATTGCTATCCCATGACTTTTGTCACTTCAGTGTATGTAAATGGGAAACGTTTAAATAGTGTTTTATTACATTTTTAAAAGCGAGAGCCACACATTTTTCTAGTTCTCTCTTAATTTCAGTGCCATAGAAATTATTTTCTGTTTATCCCTACAGCTTCGCAAGAAGGCTACAAATGCAAAAATCTCGAGGAATTCGATGCCGCCGAAAAAGGAGAAATCACGAATCCTTTGTATTCAAAAGGAAATTATCCAAATAATTTGTGGTGCGAGTACCGAATTACCGCTCCAGATGGTTACGTGAGTATTTACTTTCAATACATTAATACCATGGAAAATCAAATTCAAATTTATTGTAAAAGATTAGTCGTGTTTTAAAGTCCTATAATTTCCAAGCTATGAATCGTATGTGCTTGTGCTGTTCACCGCAATGAAGGAAAATATCTTTATCGAATTTCACATAGTTTCACATGAGCACCACACAGAAATCTAATACCAAATGGTTTATGCATAATTTCACATAACAAATAACACATCAATAGTAACAAAGGAATAGTTTCGGCCAACATCAGATAACAAATTCCACCCAACGAATGAAAATAATTTTAAAACTCGCTCGTGCAAAATTTTATAGCATAATACACGCACCTCATGGACACCAAATCAATATACAAGATCTGCGATAATAAATGGTGGGGTATCATGAGGTTCGTGTGAAGTATTATGTGAAACCGATTGAAAGTGCTTTTGTTTACGTGTATAAGATTTTTATTATTGAGATCTTTTATTCTTTGTTGAAGTTGATGTCATTTTCAATTAGAGAGTTGAACATTTCAGTTTTCACTTGGAATACTACTCATCTTTTCAGTCTCGTAAATCGAACAAATGGACGCTGACAAGGAAAACTATTGTACTTCTCAGCGGTAACTGCCACAAAACTTTCACGACAACACACTGATCAAGCATTGAACAAAGCAACAAGTGCAATGTGTGGCATTTCCTAACCATCCTAACGCACGCTCACAATATTTACATTCCTAACGCACATTCCTAACAAATTAACATATTAACAAATTAACATTCCTAACGCACGCTCACAATATTTACAACCACAGACTGGCTAATATAATGTACCTATGAGTTAAAATGTTGTCATGCACATTCCTGGCAGGTGGCATGCATACCATACGAATAATTATTGCTTGATTGTAGCCTAAACCTGTGCACAGGCATGTTCTGCCGCTTACAAGTAATGTTCTAGAGTAATCAGTATTGTTGCGAAATGCCCAGTAGCGGCCCAGTGAGATGGCTAAACAACGGGCATAGGGTTGCCAGAAAGTGGCAGAAAAATGCAAAATGGCCAGATTGGGCGCGAAATCGCCAATGTGGCGATATTTGGCAATAAAATTGGCGATATGTGATAGACGGAGCGAGAGCATTCTAGAACACATTCTTAGCGGTTTTCCTCGGGAATATTCTCGAAGGTAGGTTAAAGCTATATGTATATATCCTGCATATACGAGAATACTAGTAGTAGCTTGAGTCTAGAAATTAGGTTGAGAGAGATTGACGGAGTAGAGAGCTGTACGTTAGTGCTTCAAAGTTACAGCCTGAATGCTCTATTGCTAATTGTTTCAACGTGTTTGTCGTAGTTTTTCGACGAATGTAAACGTGTCTTTAGAACTGTCCTGTGTAAGTGTGCCTACTGGCGAAAAAATTGTGTTTTGATTCTTCATCAAGTGTCAATTACTCCAAATCCACGAACCCGTAGAACGCAGCAGTATGTTGTTGCACGTTTCTTCAAACGGCTTGTAACTTTCATCTTCTGTTACAAATATAACGGAGATGATACAGAAATAGCCGAGACATTCATTATTTCAGCATACACTGACAAGTGCTTTGTACAAAGTTGTTTACACTGTCGGAGTCACAAAGTTCTTAGTATCAGTTGACCGAAAATACAACACCGAACAAACTGCAGCAAACTGTCATAGCTCTTGAGACAAGTGGTACAATGAAAGAGCAAGTGGCGCGAATTCGGCAGAATTTGTACATCGAGTCAAAAAAATAGAAAAGAGACAGTGATATATTTCTTGTTCTACTCGGCCGATTGACCAAATTCAGCTTGCATTTTCCATGTCTCGATAGCGAAACTTATAATATGAATTTAGATTTAAATACAGCCTTGTTCTAACATGCGAATTTGACTCAAAATCAAACGTTTTCTGAAATGACATGCCGATATTTTTTTCACATTTCGATTATATGCCTCAAATTAAAACAAAGCGCAAAGTTTTCTTAGAATCGGCGACATCAGCGTTTTTTTTTTTTTTTTTTTTTTTTTTTTCTAAAAACTCTATTAAAATAATTCTTATACAGGAATAAAACAAATGGAACATTCTCACACGAAAACATTATTTGAATCCATGCCAAAGCGAAACCCAAGTTGAATCCATTCGAAAACCTGTAATTTTAGCTAATGGATATCCAATGAAATATTGAATTTTGCGTTATTTTTCACGTTCCTATTAAATACAAACTGTTTATTTTAACAGTGTGTGTTAATAAAACAGTGTCCGAATACTTATGTGAGTTCATTTTTGGAACTTAATGAATAAATTACTTTTTTTACCAAAACCCTTTTTAATAACTTTTTCAAAACAGGCAGGTTTCAAAATATAAGATTAATAATATATGTGAATGAAAAATTAAGTCGTTCTGATAACATTTAGTACTGATAGTACTTGCAAAATAAAACTGAAAGACACAAGTGTCCGGAAGCAAATGTGAGGCACTGTAATTTTAAACAAACTGTTTTTTTGCAACTGAAAGGCCGCTAATATTATCACCAAAAACATTTTTCCGAAGTGCACTACCTTTTTATATAAAAATAAGATTTAAAAAAATCACTTTTTTAAAAGTTAAATTGTGATACAAAGATTCAGTCCTATAGCAATCGAATGAGTTAGTCAAATTGCAAAAATTCAAAGGTTATATGCAGAAATTATATGCAGTTATTCTGGGTACGATAGCCTACGACAGCGCGATCTTTATCATATTAAATCTAAGTAAATATTTTTAACCCTTTGTTGCAAACAAATAATCTAGAGAAGTTAAACGAAAATGTTTATATTTTTTTACTTAAAATAACCTTAGTAATAATAAAAAAAATTAATTTTATTCAAATTTCGTTTTAAATAATTGCTACAGTTTGTTCTCTACAGTGGACAGCATGCATATACGTACATGCATACAAATCTCTTCCCAACGATTTAAGGTCATTGGATTTGAAATCATTTCCTGCCTTGTTTGCAGTGATCATTACCATCTTCTAAATGGTAAATCTACAACTGACATGTACATACAGATCCCCCAAAACACCTTCATTTCGTCGATTGTGATTGAATTTATTTTGCTACGATTTTGTAATCTGTACCTATTGGATTCAAATGTCAAATGTTCTAAAAATTCCTTGCCAAACATAAATATTTCCAGTGGTGTTTTGGCTTGATAAGCAGCACATTTAGGTTTCAATTCACCCTTTTCGATAGATCTTTATTTACCCACTCTACAATTTTCTCAAACTGATATTTAAAATAAAATGTCTAAAACCACTAATTATGAATAAAAAAATGGCAGTATAAGAAAATGTAAGCAATATTATATAATGTTTACTATGATAAATTGTACTAACTTGGAAACAGAAGTAGCAGCCATTTTCCAAATAGCAATGCTTTACTTTGTGATGCTATACAGCCATCTATGATCGATAGTTGAAAGTTCTAATAATATAGAATGAATAAACACAGGAATGGAATCTGTTAAGGCATTTACAGAAGAATAAACAAATTTAAACTTTTGTCTATTAGAGTGGACATGATGCAACAAAGGGTTAAAATAAAAATTAAGCTCATTTTTATGCTAGAATGCATTTCCTACGTAGCGTATTTTCATCATGTACGTTCTAATTTAGAATATATTTGCCAAAGTCTAAATTCTAATCTTAGTAAGGCAATAAATAAATTATTATTACTGCTACATTTGTTTTTACATTATTATTATTTCTGTTACATTAGATTTTATTAAAATTCTTCAGGTGAAATAATGTTAAGAATTTAAAAAGTTGTACTTATATGCGCACACATTGCTAATTTTATACCAATTAAGTTTCTAACACCTGCGCTTCTACTCTTTCCGTTAACACCACCGAAAAATACAAATTAAGGGAATAAAATTAACGAACGACTGGGTCTGAGTTTACCCACAATTCAATCATTGGCACGGTATATCTCATATTTTTCCCGATTAGATAACTACACTTTTTTTCGTGAGTTCCTGACTTTTGACATTTAAAAAATTTGCGTTTATAAATCACGCATAAAAAAATGTATCAAAATATAAAAATCTGGAAGCTTTCAGATTTTACATTATGCCCAAAAGGCGTTTTATAAACGTTTTGCATGTTACCTTTGTTTATTAAATATCATGTTCTTCGCAGTTAAACCATAAAATTCAGTTCAAAAGCAATATCGCAAAATAATTTTAAAATGAGCCTATCTTTAGAATTTTCGAAACACAGTCTCGCGCGCTGGAGATAATTTTTTTTTTCACAGTGTTGCCATTGCTCGCTTTGAAATCATTGAGTTTGTTAATCAAAAATTAGTTAAATTTTTACAGATAGATAAATAGATAATAAAACAAATTCCAAATTCGGGCTTCCAGATGTCCATATTCGAGTGGAAACGTACGTTATTCAAAATTGTATAACCGTTGTTTTATCATAATGCGAGAAACATATATACATTTATGGAGATTCTTCATTATTAGTCCAAAGGGATTTGAATCCCGAAGGACTATTAGTTTCGTTTTGGCATTTTGCGTCGGACGGATAAATGTCGGTTCACTTTTCAAACTGTTGCCATAAAATGTTAGAGTCCTGCATTATATTTGAAGAAATTAAATAATGAAAATCTGCGTAAATGTATGTATATTTCTCACATTGTCATAAAATAACGGTACATAGAGTCATCGAATTTTGAATAACGTAATCCTCCAACGAATATGAGCATGTGGAAGACCAAATTTGAAATTTGAAATTTTGTTTTATGATCGATTTCCTATTTTTTAAAACTTTGACGAATTTTTGATTAACAAACTCAAGGATTTCAAAGCGAGCAATGGCAACGTTGTGCAGAGAAAAAACATTTTTATCTCCAGCGCGTGAGTCTCTGTATCGGAAATTCTAAAGATATGCTCGTTTTAAAACTATTTTGCGATATTGCTGTTGCACTGGATCTTATGGTTTAAGTGCGAGGAACATGATATTTAATAAAGAAAGGTAACACACAAAATGTTAAAAAAACGCCCCTTTGGACGTAATTTAAAATCTGAAACATTTCAGATTTTTTTTTTTTTTTTTTAAATTTCTTTAAGGATTATACAGAGCTCTAATATTTGGTGGCTACAATCTGAAAAGTGAACCGACATTTATAGTGAACCAACACAGAATGCCAAAACGAAATTAATAATCCCTCTGGACAAATTGCCCTTTTAGACTAATTAGGTTGGTTGATTACTTAAACATTAAAAGCACATACAGGCCCATGGAAGGGAATGCCTTCATAGAGGGTTTTTCTAAAACAAAGTGACTCATATTCAAGTTTCACATGGAAAAAAACACGAAAGCCAACCAGGCAGTCAGCTTGTTCCCCCGAGTTGGTTTGGTTTATTTAGTTATGGCAAAGACCTATAGGGCTATCTGCCTAAGGGGATGGAAGCCTTCGTGGAGGATGTTCTAAGGGAACCTGGCTCGTATACACGTTACACATGGGCAAAACCACGAAAACGCCCATGCGGCCAGCCGAACCCGCCCTTGCAGCCACTCCAAACTGGCAGTTTGGTACGGGGCATTCAAACCCCAGACCAAACTAACAGTATTCAGCAGCTTTGCCACTCGGCAGCTGGTGGACCATCGCTTGAGTTGGACTTTGAAGTAGATTCAGCAATCTTTGTCCGCTCGGCTACTTTGGAACCACTTAAATTAGGAACCAGGTTATTAGCCTGTTCTAATTTACTATACGGTTTGCAAATATTTATAATATTGTTATATTCTTAGACAGAAATAAAGGTAGTTTAAATTTTGTTAAAGCGTTGGTTTAAAACTACCAAGCCAGTGGCGCAGCGAGGGAGGGCAAGTAGGTGTATTATGCCCCGGGCGCCGTCAGCAGTGGGGTGCCAAATGGTCTCCAAAGAAGATTTTCATCATATCAGTTTTTTTTTTTTTTTTTTTTTTTTTTTTTTTTTAGGGAGGTATTTTGCCCCGGGCTACTCCACTGTACCAAGCCGCAGGGCAAATGAACGTTCAGTTAAATTTTCTATTATTGCACTCATTTTGTTCTTGAAATAACGATGGGATGATTATCTATTTGCCTTATTCTTTCTGAGAAGATTAAGCAGGTCGACATTAAATTTATCTCGGAGGCTCAGGTGTCAAAATAATTCTACAGATTTAGATATTTGGATGAGCAGTTCACTTTTAAATGACTAAAAATTATGCAGACGACTTTAAATCTTAATTTACTTAGTTATTCAAAATGCATTGCATTGCACGATAGTGCATCTTTCCACCGGTCAATAACCACTTCGAACAACCTTACAGCGCCCAGAAATAAGCTATGACAAAACTAACAGTATTCAGCAAATGCAGGGGCAGGTTCGGCTGGCTGCATGGGCGTTTTCGTGGTTTTGCCCATGTGTAACGTGTATACGAGCCAGGTTCCCTTAGAACGTCCTCCACGAAGGCTTCCATCCCCTCAGGCAGATAGCCCTCGAGGTCTTTGCCGTAACTAAATAAACCAAACATTTGCATTAAGATAGAAAGCTGCATCAGTGTTAATTCTGCAATGTTTCCTTTTCTTAAATATATTCTGATTACTTAATTGCCATACCGTGATTACTGAAACTTCGATGAATTAAATGTCGATAATACGTCGTTTCCATTTAAATAGCCTCTGTAAATGGCCCATTGAAAGACAAATTAACGTGCTTTATTGTACTTTCTCTTTTAATATATGAAGTTTTCAAATGCATCATGGCTTACACTGGCTCACAAAGAACTGTTCACATTGACTTTTGAAAAACAGTTTCACAGTCGCTTTTGAAAAATAAAAATGCAATTCAAGTAAATAAAATCAAATTCAAGGAACATTTATATGAATAAACATACTTAGAAATACGTATACGGAATGAACAAATTGAAATTTTTGGTAAAATTTGAATGGTAGAACCGAAATTCGGAAAAAAAAAAAAAAAAATATGGCATGTTATTTTAGAAAAAGTCCGATTTTGTATCAAACTTCGCATGTTAGAACAACGCCATATTTAAATCTATTAAATATCGTAACTCGTGCTTTCGAGACATGAAAAACCCACGTGAATTTCCTCCATTAACCAAATAGAAAAAAATGTATATAAAAAACTATCATTTTTGGGGGTTGAAGGTTTGGCTCGGCGTACATTAAATTTTCAGAATGCGCATATCGTGGGACTTGTAATTCACAAATGACATTTAAAAAGCGGCGATTCATCATCATTCTATTCCTTCCATCATTTCAAATTACTTTTTTCTTTCCGAGCATAAATTTTATTGGCAAGTATGAAACATGTAACTTTCCTACCTCCTAGTCTGATGCCTTGATTACCAACTCGTGGTGTACCCATCACCTTTGATCACAGCCCTGTCTTCTTCTGCCATCTTTTCATGGCTTAGAAAGGCGTATTTGCGCAACAAGTGCAACTATATGATGGAGTACGTGATTTCTGTTGACAATAGAATACTTCAAATCTCAGATATATTACGCTTGCACATCTATGCCTGTAGAACTTGTGGCATTCGCATCGCCTGTAAGGCTTACATCGCCCGTAAACCCCATTCTGGAATTATAGGCGACTGCGAAATGCCCCATTTCGCACCTGTTGTTTTGTTTGTATGCTTGATTATCCCAGAAAGTTTCATGGTGATCGTCATCGGAAATTTCGATAGCTTTCCTTCTAACGCTCGAAAACTATAAGTGAAGCCTGATCTTATACTACTTAGAGAAGCCAGACTCTGAGTAATAATACATAATTTCAGCTTGTGATGATAGCAAAGCACAAGAAGTGGTGGATTCAAGTCAGGACATTAATAACTTACATAATACTATTTCTAACGTTTAACCCTTAAATGCATGTAGTTGCCGTTTGGCAACATACTCATATTTAGTCATGCAAATCAAATCAAAACACGAATTTTTGCTTACTGCAATTGGATACATACTGTTTACGTATATAGTTTTCAAAGTTTCAGTGTGGTGGCACCTCTAACAGTGTAGCGGTCATTATTGTGAGTTGATGTGTAGGGTGTGGACATCATTTGTGTTTGCGAATTTTTCCTTTTGTGTTTGTTGTTATTTTGATGTATTTAAAGTTTTAAAATTGTTTGAACAAGTTTATAAGGTATGTATTATTACATAAAATTGTTATTACACATTCGCCTATCATTTTTTTTTTTTTGTGTGTGTTGTGTGGGGGGGGGTGTGAAAGTTAATTTCTTAAAGTTAACAATGTTTTTTCAAAAATTAGAATATAATCTTAGTTTAGATTTTTTTAAATATTTTTCCTATTTTATTTAATATCAATTCTAAGGTATTTTTGACTATAAAAATAAAAATAAAATTTCATGCATTAAAAGGTTAAAAAATATTTGAATACATTTTAGTTATTAACATCATTATTCTCGAATAAACTTTATTTCAGAGGATAAAACTGACTTTCGAGGATATGGACATCAAGCCCAGTGGCAGCTGCGGATCGGACAAACTAGTTGTTTACGGGAAAAATAAGGAAACTGTCCTAGGAGTGTACTGTGGCTTTCAAATCCCAAACCCTGTACTATCTCACGAAGACGAGAATGAAGTAAGACTTCTTTTTGAAACGGATGACATGGGATCTGGTAGAGGATTTAAGCTAACTTATGAATCATCTCCATACATTGGTAAGTTGACAATAATATACATCTCTACATATAATAAAAGAAAGAGTCTATGTGTCTTTCGTTTCTGCTGCGCGTAAGCTAATAGACCCAATGCTACGAAATTTGGCATATAGATGCAGCTAGACAAGAGCCAGTGCACCTCGAAGTGATTTTTTTTTTTTTTTTTTAAATTTGAATCAGATTTTTTTTTATTTTATCTTTTCAATTTTATCGCATCATTTTGAATAGTTTCATTCTTTTAGAAATGTGGTTTTTGGCAACAGTTTTCATTCAATTGTGTACTGGACTGCTGACAGTTGAAAATCAGCACTGTTGCCTCTTGGAAAAATGAGGGCGATAATTCTGTGCAGTTTTTAATTTTAAAGTTTCTCTTGGATACTGGATATTTGTTGAGAGAAGGCAACGGAAAGTTCGTTAATTTATTTAGATTACAGCCGAAAACATCGCGGAGAAAACAAAGCAAGGTGAAAACGTCATCGTACTAAACATCGTGGGAGAAAATAAAGCAAAGAAAAAATATCGCAGTTAAAAGACAAACGTGTTACAAAATATCGTCGTCGAAAATAAAGCGGTTCATAAACTTCGCAGTTTAAAAGCATCGTCGTCGAAAATATCGTTGTAAAAAATAAAGTGACTACAACGTCATGCATGAAGATAACATCGCAGACATGCGTTTTTCAGGCTTTAAAAATTGTAAATGGATATTCGCATAATGATTTGTGACCGCAAGTTGAAAAGAAGGGTAATTTTTTTCTTTCATATTTTTTATTAACTAAAAAATTTATAAAAAACAAAACAAAAAATTTAAACAAAAAATAAATAATTTTCACTATAAGAGTATCAGATTAACGAAAGTGAAGAAAATAATCTCATAATTAACTTAGCAATTTTTTATAGATAGGGCATGCAGTTACTTACCTTCCTTTTTCTAATCTATTATTATTCTATAGGTCGTAATAATTTTCTTTGCTTAAGTCTCAATTTTACATTTTCAGCAAATATTTATTAGTTAATAAAAAATATGAAAGTAAAAATTATCCTTCTTTCCATCTTGCACTCACAAATCATTATGCGAGTATCCTTTCACAAGTTTCACAAGCCTGAAAAACGCATATTTGGGATGTTATCGTCATGCGATAATTTATAGGTACTTTATTTTTTATCACGATATTTTCAACGACGATGGTTTTAAATTGCGAAGTTTTTTGAACCGCTTTATTTTCGACTTTGATATTTTGTACCACGACGTTTTAGAACTGCAATGTTTTCTCTTTGCTTTATTTTCTAACACGATGTTTTGTACCACGACGTTGCGTTGTTTTCTGCGCGACGTTTTCGTCCGAGATGCTTTTTGCCGCGATGTGTTCGGCGGACACCATATGGCCTATTAAGTTATACACATTTTTTGCTGCATTTCATTTAAACTTATTTCCTTGAATTTCAATGGAGACATATTTCTCATTCAATTCAGTTTTCAGTTCGCGGCAAAGCAAAAATACACAAAAACTCAAAACATCTTCATTAAAATTTGTAAAATACATAAAAACATAAAACACCAAATATAGTTAAAACAGTTTAAAAAATCCTTTACTACTAGAATTAGAATTTCTACGCATAAACAAACAATTCGGCCAGCGGGTAAGAAGGCAGATTTTCCGGTGCACAAAAACTGAAAGTTTACTTTTGGTCTTAGTCCGCAAAAAGACACTGAAGGTACAGAAAGTGACTTATTTCGATATTCTGCTAAGTTTCAAATATAAACAAATGGATACTTCATTAGGCTTATTCGCACTTAAAAACTTTTAAATTGTTGATAATTCTACAACTAATGCATGCATATTAACTAAAGACATAAAAATCTTAACCGGAACATAAGAACATTATTCAATTACTTTACAAGCAAAAAATGCGCAATTTACCAACATATAAGAATAAAAAATCTAAGCTCATCGAGCCAAGTAACAGAGTGATAGCGTAGCCGGGAGGTGCACAACTACATGTTATAACAGTCCCATATACAAAATGTCAACGTTCTACGGTTATTCGTTCTTGAGTTGTGCGAGATACATACATTACGTACGTACGTGCAGACGTCCAGAAAAAAATCTCTTCCGAATCCATTTTAAATCAATTTTACAAACCTCTTTGGCAAAAAATAGTTTTTTTATTCTATCCGTACGTAAAACTGTCACGTAAAAACATTGTTCAAAGGGTTTCGAGAGCGATTTAAATGAATATTTTCGTTGAAATATGGTACCCGAAATTTTTCGCGATTACAATACTTCCTTTACTTCGTACAACGAAGTAAAAATCGTCATAAAATTCGTATATCCTCATTTCTTTCCTCCAAGATAAACTGATTTCAAAATCTCCTAACTGTTAATAAGTCTCTAAACTTAGCGACTCACAACAAAAGAACCCATATTCTATAAAAAGAAAAACTTGCTTGCTTTCGATGGAGTAAAGAAAATAAATTTCAAACTAAATGTATATGCGCTTAAAATACAAATTTAGTTGCAAACCGCCAGATTGGCACTTACGGCATCCCTAAAAAAGAAAGAAAGAAGTGTTTCAGATTTTAAATTACGACCAAAGGGGCGTTTTTTAACATGTTGTGCGTTACCTTTATTTATTAAATATCATGTTCATCGCATTTAAACCATAAAAACTCAGTTCAAGAGCAATATCCCAAAACAATTTTAAATTGAGCGCATCTTTAGAATTTCCAATACACAATCTCGCGCGCTGGAGATAAAATGGTTTTTTCTGTACAACGTTGCCATGGCTCGCTTTGAAATCCTTGAGTTTGTTAATCAAAAATTCGTTAACGTTTTACAAAATACGAAATTGATAATAAAACAAATTTCAAATTCTAAATTAGGGCTTACAGATGCCCATATTCGGATGAAAACGTACGTTATTCAAAATTTGATGGCTGTAGGAACCGTTGTTTTATCACAATGCGAGAAACATACATACATTTATGCAGATTCTTCATTATTTAATTTCTTCAAATATAATACAGGGCGATAATATTTGGTGGCAACAGTTTGAAAAGTGAAACGGACATTCAGAGTGATTTGACGCAAAATAGCAAAACGAAAACAATAGTCCCTCAGGGACAAATCCCCTTCGAACCAAAAAAAAAAATTGTTTTAATTCGTAAAATTAAAATAAAAATGATAATTAAAACTACAGCATTCCCAAAAATTATAAAAATCCACAGATATGATAATAACGTTTCGTTTTACTTCGTTGCAGAAATGTGTAAAGAGAATGAAGGGGAATGCCGCAACAGGGATTGTTACCCTGTCGATAAGATGTGCGATGGAGTGGACGACTGTGGAGACGGAACTGATGAAGAAGACTGTGGTAACGTTATTATTTGTTTATCATAATTATTAGCATTATTACTTTTATAACAATATTTATAATATACTTTTTATAACAGTATTTTTCTTAAACTCATCTGGAATTATTTTAAAATTCCCAGTTGATGCTGAAGCATTTTTTTAAAAATTTAAATGACCTACAAAAATAAGGTAATCAACGATTATTAGATGCTAGTTTTTTTTATTTTCTGGCATTGTTTATGAAAATTTTAATGCAGATAAAAAATATAGGATGAGCACAAAATCTTTCCCTGATTACAAAACTTTTACTTTGAAACAACTCTGGAAGATATGGAATATAATATGGAATTTTTTCTCGTGATCTAGTCTTATTGTTATGATTTTTCTACCTCGCAATAAATAGTGCATAGGAATAATAATAAAAATACGTTGTTGACGAAAAGAAGTTAAACATGTTTTGTGGTATTATAAAACTAAATCGCCCATCAAAGGTGGTCTAGAAATTTGTATGGACGCAGTCATCCAAATATTAAAAGCAGAAGCTGTGAAAAGTTTTAAAGAATTCTTTTTTCATTGGCGGCACAAGTAGTCATAGCCACTACTAAGACTGGAAGCGGTGGTTAATTTACATTCATGTCTTCTTCGGGATTCCAACCTGAGACCTTCTGTACGGCAGTCAGCGTCACAAACCATTTTCCCGTTTGGGCGGCAGTTTTAAGGAAATAGCAATATTGCTGGTGAGGGATTGTTAACTATATCGTGAATTGGCCAATAAGCGGCCGAGTGGTAAAACTCCCTGAAACGGGTAGTTCGGTCAGACGTTCGAATCTCGGAGAATGGGTTGGCTTGCATCGGCGTTTATGTGGTTTTTCCTTGTGTAACGTACATAGGAGTCAGTTTCTCTTAAAAAAATCCTCCACGGGGCATCCGTCCTTTGCCGTGTAGTGCCTAACAGCGGAACACATATTAAATAAATAAATATATATCATGAATGGGACAAAAAAGACCGAGTCTTCGTTACACAACTTGGTGATACTGATACTTTGAAGGGCAGGTTAACCGATGGTGCGTCAAGTGTAACAGAGCAAATATTGAAGAATACATGGCAAGAATTTGAACAGCGACTAGGCATTCGCTAAGCTACAAAGGGATTCACACGTAGAAATTTACCAGCATAGTACTTCATCAAAAAGCTTTACTATTGAAGTTATTACTTTTGAAGAACCACACAAATCTAATTACGATAGTTTTCGAGCAATAGTTTTTTTTAATTAAAAAAAAGAGATTTTAAAATAACTCTGTAAAATTAACTTTACTAATAATTATTACATTTGCAAATATTCGATATATATTCAAAATATAAAAAGCGCTAAATTTAATTGTATTAATAACTGATGGCTTCCTACAGCCTGACGGACCAATACCTAAGCTTTTTTTTTTTCCCTAGATTTAAAATTTTTGTAATCTACGATGGAAAAGTTACTATCAAATACTATTAAAATAAAAGAAATCTAAAAACTATCTAAGAAATTATGAAAGGGAAAGGTGTGGTGTATGTGATTACGGCAATGCCTCGAGGGCTATCTACCTATCATGCCTTCGTGGAGAACTTTCAAAGGGAAACTGGCTCGTATACACATCGGTAAAACGTCCATGGAGACAGCCCATTTATGGGATTCTAACCTAGGACCGAACTACCAGCGTTCAGCGACTTTACCGCTCGGCCACTGGTGGTCTATGAACGGGAAAAGAAGAATGCGTGGGATAATATCAATAATAGCAGATAATATCTACCACATAAATTCTGCCAAAAAAACAAAACGTTTTAACCAATATTTTGGTACTCCACGAAGGCATCTCTCCGTTTAAGCAGATAGCTCTCGAGTCTTTGACATAATCACATAAACCAAACCAAACCAATCCATTGTTACTAAAAATGCTTAAAGTTTTTTGCAAGATGGCGATAGAATCGTTCTTCCCTCTTCAGACAAACCAAATCAAGCGCTCTAGCCAGATCGTCCGATTCCACACCCTGTATAAGTATATATTGCTTTTTAATGCCACTTAATAATTTAATTTCCTCATTTCTAATTATGTTGATTCTTCCATTGTTTACAGTTTTTTTTTTTTTTTTTTTTTTTTTTTTTTTTTGTTTTTTTTTGTTTTGTTGTTGTTGTTTTGTTTTATTTTCAATATTGATTTAACTGAATCAAAAGAGCTCGTTTTTCAGCTTAAACTGCTGAAAATAATGCTAATTGCTAATCGTATTCTTCTGTTAATTATATAACGGTTGTCGACGTCGCTACCTTTATCACCCTAAATGAATTGGAAATTTACTGTAAAATATTTCGTGCTTTTATTTATAAAATTTTACATTAAAATCTTAAAATATATCAAATGATTTTTATTTCTCTCTTTTCTCTTATGAAACCAAAGACATGCCTATTGTAAGTCTACCAGCAGAGGATGCATGTGGGAAAACTCCCATTAAGCCAGACACAATTTATGGTTCAGCTGACCGCGTGGTCGGAGGAACTGCAGCCGTTCCAAACAGCTGGCCATGGCAAGTCTCTTTTCAGCATGCTTACATCGAGCCTAATGGACATTTCTGCGGGGGAACTCTCATCAATGCACAATGGGTTATCTCCGCAGCTCACTGCTTTGCTAAGTAAGTACAATCTTCTTTCTTCTAGCTCTTGAAGATGTCTTGCATACAATGCAAATAATCTCCCAATTCAATTAATGATAGACGATTATTCTTCCAAGATTTCCTATCTTACGTAAAGTGTAAGAGTATCTGAGTATACAGAATGGCTGGGGGATAATCTGTTTTCATCATTAAGCTCAGTATTTTTAATTTGTGTGGCTAATCTTTATTCTAAGGTACCCCTTGGTTTTTTTCTGAAAAATTCGCCAAGGGGTATTAGTTGTTAGCCAAATCTGAAAGCCTCCTGAGCGAAATAAGTTTTTCGGGAACCCTAATGTTGATAATATTGGCAAAACTAACCTTGGGTGTTGAGGAGATGGTGGTGGGAAGCCTAAACCAAAGAACGTCTAGGAAAGAAGGAAAGGTTCCATAGACGTAATGTAAACCAGTTTGCTATTACACCGCTAGAAAGCGGAGGGGAAATCGCCAAGGCACTTGGCGACGGAACCTGGCGGGCGAGAAATTCCCCCTCCGCGATGTGTACAGGGAATTGAGGAACACGTGTTAAGAAGGAACTTTCTTCGACAAATAGTTTCTTCTTTGACTTTTCGCGATAGTTTAAACTCGGATATAGGTACCTTTTTTTTTTTTTTTTTTTTGCTCAAAATAACTAATTCATTAATTAATTTACTTATGCGAAAAAAATATTTTCTTTTCCTCTAAAGATTAAAACGATATTCGTTTTATGAACTCTTGATAAACGTGACCTTCGAACTTCGACGCCTCTTCGAGCTTTGGCAACAGATATTTCGCGCATGCGCAGCTGTTTTCCTCTATGTTGGGACGGAGCCACTCCTGTTGCGGAGAATTTTTCCTTCTTAACAACACATATTCCTTGCCTAACCGTACGCACTTGAGGAAAAGGTACGTTAAAAAATTGATCTTTCAAAAAATTATTTATTCCTCTCTGTGTGTTAATTTTTTTAAGATTTGTTGTTTAATGTTTTTTTATGTTACGAAATTTGCAATTTTGATTATTTATTCCTCTCTGTTCGTGTATTTCTGGTTATTTATCCCTCTCTGTCTGTTAAGACAGCGTTTTGATGCCCTCTAGAATTTGGCGAATTTTTTTTTTTTTTTTTAATGCTGATACGTACAATAAATTTTCACCATTTCTGTAAATATTTGCATCGATTTGATTGTATTTTAGTTCTTGTGCATTTTTGAAGTGTTATGCACTGTTTTTATTTCTTTCTTTCAGGCATTTTGTGTATTAGCTTTCCTTTATTAAATCGATTTTTTACCGAACTTATAACTACTTATTAAGTTTCTAAATATTTATTTTGTGTATTGCGACATCGATTTTTATTTGTGAATCAACTGATGTTTGAATCATAGAAGTGGCTGAATTAGAACCGAAGGTATTCTCAGAAATTCTCTAACAAGGTCTCAGCGGTATTTCGCGATACTTTGCTCGCATTCTTGAGGTTTCCAGAAAAGTGATTTTTGAATTCCTAGAAGCGATTTTTTCCCATGCTAGCAGAAGTGGTTGAGCAACTTTACAAATTATTGCTGCATTAGATCTATACGTCAGTTAGCTCAGTTGTTCAATCAGAGTCGTGCAACTGCACTGAGCTCTTACTGGGTGATTAATGCTGTAGGACAGGAGTTTTCAATTAAGGGGAAATTCATGGTTTCAGAAGATAATGCGGTCAGTCTTTTGTTTAGCTGTTTAAGTTTAGTTTTAGTTATTGGATGTAAAAAAAGATACTTTTATTCAAGTTTTGGTATTTATCAATATTTTCTATACCTTTTGTTGTTCAGCTTATGAAACATATTAAAAATATCCAAGTCTAAGTAAATGTTTCTATATGGAGTTTTGGAAAGAAGAAGAGAATTATCTTCTAACAGTGATAAAACGGGTGCGTGGAGCAAAACAGATTGAAAAAAAACCATTGCTTCAGGCTTTGCTCTGTGAGTGATTTTGCTGATCTGCAATATCACGCATATCTTACAGGAAACTTGTCTTACCTCTGCCTTTCTCCTTGGATTATATATATTTATTTATCCTAATGTATGAGCTGGTATTTATTTCAGTAAAATGTCAATCTGTTCCTTTTCATTTGGCATTATTATTAAAAAGATCTCCGCGAACCCGTAGTACGCAAGAATATGCATCTTTAATAATAATTAAATGTACTTTACTGTTTCTCTAAATATTGATATATTTTTTTGGTAAAATATTGTTGCTTGTGCCAGGATTTGATATCTAAAATTACAGGCTGAAAGCCATTCATAAAACTGAAGTAATCAAATAATAAATAAATAACAATAATTAAATACAACCATTAAAAAGTACAAATTAGAAAATTAATACATTTAAAAAATGCGTCATAAAATTAAATAATAAAACCGGTGAAAAGCTTTTCATGTAATACTTACCATTAGCATTAAAATGTAGGAATATCTTCCCGGTACTCGCCAAAGTACAAAGGGTTAAAAAAAAGTTATTGTAAGTCTCAAAAACAAAAACCAAGAAAACGAAGTCGTTTTTATATCTCATAAAGAAAGTAACACTGAAGAAAATTCTATTATAGTAAAAAGAGATACGGAAGATTCTAAATTTAAGTTTCAAAATGAATATTATTAAGTTTCAAAATGAATATTAAGTTTATGAAAATGGGAAAAAAAAGTCGGGGAAATAGCTTGCGAATTAAAACTGTACTAAACTTGATTAGATATTGATCGATTTGTAGGATGTATAAGAATACATTAGTGAATTGCAAAAAAAGGGGAACTGACTGAGGACGATTTGGTTAGTTTCCAAATTCCAAAATAAAATAGTTGTAGAAGAAGAAAGAAATAACGAAAAAGATGAAGAAAAGAAACCTTTAAAATAATTCACTACAAAGAATTATCTGAGGTATTTTCTAAATTAAATCAAAGACTTCAAATTCTCGAAAATATGAATCAAAACACTGAACGTTCGCAAAATCGAGAAGCAGTCAGATGTTATTGTGAAATATATGAAAAAAAAAGAACAAAAATCAAACGGACGATACTAACGAATTTTCTGATTAAAGATATTACTCCCATATGCAGTGAACCATTTAAATAACTAACAAATACTCGGTTGTTTTTTTTTAATTTTTAATTAAAGATATAGTTTATATGTTTTTGCAATTTTGTTCATGTTAACGAAATTCAAATTGTACTTACGTAATAACACAACCACCTTGGTGAAATTTGGCGAATTTTTACAAATAAAAAAATATAAGTTACTTATTGGGTGCAAACTGACGCGCTTTTTTTGACAAAGATTCCTAAACTGTTGATATTTATTGTAAGTCGGTAAATATTATCAACATATGAAAAGGAAACATACTTTAGCAATTTAAAATACAAATTTGAATTATTAATTCGATTTCGTGCAATCCTCGTAATAGCGGCTATCGAAGAAACGCATTTCTTTTTCGTTCTCTTTAGAACATTTTCAGCAAAATTCTGTAATTCTTACAAAAACTTTACCGCAATTTCTTTCATTGCCAGCAAATTCCGCATACTCATGTTTTAAAACTAAATAAAGAACAAAAAGCATCGCAATTGAGCACAATTATCACGATTAAGGAAAAAAAATCACGTTTTGTTTATAAGAACCGTTAGAACTTGTACTACAGCAATAAATAAAAAAGAAAGCATACGAAAATAGCGGCGTTACTTGACTGAAAGGTTGTCATGAGGATGGTTGCCAGAAAATGGCTATGCACATGATTGCCAGAGTTTGGCGCATTCTGAAAATTTGGTGACTTCTGTTGAGGTGGTTGCATTAATACATAAGTACCTTTAAAATATCGCCCAACAGCGGCCGAGCGATCACCAACCACCTCAAGTCGCTGAACACTGGTAGTTCAGTCCGAGGTTCGAATCTCGCGAACGGGCTGGCTGCATGGGTGTTTTCCACATGTGTAACGTGTATACGAGCCCGTTTCCCTTAGAAAGTCCTCCACGAAGGCATCCCTACCCTTAGGCAGATAGCCCTAGTGTGCTTTGCCATAATTAAATACACCACCACCACCTTTATATCAGTATGCGGAAATATATGTACATATGTATTACATGTGTATATGTACGCAGTAAATTGCTGGTTGCTCATGAACATATGCAGTCTTGAATTTTAGCATATTTATTAATAATCTACGAAAAGTTTAATATCGTAAACACATTGCTAAGAATATCAACAACAAATTAATAATCAAATAATTATATTCAAAAATACAGTATTTAATTAGCTTTCAAGAGTGAGTATAGTTGTCGTCATTGTACGAAGATTCAGTTCTTCAATGCAGAAGTACGTTAAAAACGTATATATGCAATACCTGCATCGGTCTTCATTTTCTTAAGCAATGCAGACATATTTTCCGAGGTATAACTTGTTGCTTTGCCTTGATGAAATTTCACTCATTGAGAGTCATTTGAATTTTATTTGATTTCATATTTTTTTTAATTTTATTTTATGCTTATAAAAACGCAAGAAAAGGAAAATTTTCATTTATCAAAATGCTTTGAAACATGATACAAATAAAATAAAATAGTTAGTGTGCATGGTGTGGTACTAATAATAATACCAATATTAATGTGTCAAAAATGATACCAATCTTTAATATGCATGGTGGTTTATAAACGGTATTTATAAAAGCACCGTTTAAATGTTTAAAGCAAAATACTATTATTTACCTATTAAATTTCACTTAAGGTTTTAGAAAATAATTAGCCAAATTCATACAAAAGATCGATATAAATCAGACTGAATAAAAATTAAAGAAAAAATTTATTGAAATGATTTAAAAAATTTTCATAATTTCAAATTTTTTTAACGGAGAACAAGTTCATTGTCTGACTTCTTTTTTAGAATTATTACCAAAAATTTCTCAATATAGTTTTCTTTTTTGTTTCAACATTTAATTATCAGCAGTTGTTCCAGAAATGTGTTTAAAAGAGAAGTTCTAAATTCACATAAATTACAATTCGGAAAATTTAGAGATTTACAGGAAAATGTAATGAAAATCAGTAGTCTCCTAGTTTTACCGGAAGGACTAGGATAACTGTAATAATGTATTTTTTTGCATATATATTTAAGATCGTTAATTATTCCTTCTAATATTGTATTCAAATATTTGTAATTATTATTATTACTTAAGTTTGAAAGAAGCAATGCGTTAAAACAACCAATTGCTTTATCGGAATTGCTTATATTATAGCTTAGAAATTAACAACAACAATTTTTGCAGCTTTATGCTCAAAGATATTTCTACTCATTAATATAATTTTTAATATGCAGCAATCCTTTCCCACCAACCGTCAGGATACATCTCGGCAGCCATAACAAATTCAATAAAACTAAATTTGAGCAGACAAGGGTAGCAAAGAAGATCGTCTCGTATCCGGACTTGGAAGGCGAAAAAGTAAGATTTCTAACTCATTTAATCCTCTTAAGCCCCGCCTACACAACCAGACATATCTCCCTACAAGTCTCCCTCGCAGACATGTCTCCTGATAGTATTTCCTTTATATAGGGAGATTTTGTCACACTGTGGTTAAGTCGCACTGTTATATTGAATAAATGTGCATAGCCTATTAGAGGCAAATCAGTGGTCATATAATTAAATCCTACCTAACAAGTAGACACTTTGTCGTTCACCTTTCTTATCTTTACTCCACTAAACGTCTGGTTTCAGCTGACGTCCCCCAGGGGTCGCTACCAGGACTTACACTTTTCAATATTTATGTTGATTATGTTACGGAATATACCCGCCACATCCAACACTACACTAGCAGTGTATACTGACGACACAGCGATCCTTGCACAAAATGCATTTCTTAGCCCAGTCATACAACATCTTCAAAATCACATACATGTACTGGAGATCTGGCTACTGAAATGAAAAATTCAGATTAACGTTGAAAAAACAACCATAGTCTTCACTAAGAAGAGAAAAGTTGAACAAAACCTGCAGTTTTATGGAACTCACTGCCCTGGGCTAAGTAACTCACTTATCTTGGGGTGATCATCACAAATTCTCTCACATGGTCCTTACATATACACTATTATTCAGAAGTTTCCAGATCGTAAAGATAAACTCAACCTCTTAACTGCCCGAAACAGCGTTCTATCTACAGGTAATAATTTACTCATTTATAAATCCATTTTGCATCCCATGCTCTGTTACGCTTGGGCTATTCACATAAAAAAACTACAAATTGCCCAGAATGTTGTTCTGCGGCAAATTACAAATGCACCATACTATGTTAGAAACAATACAATTCATGCGGACCTAGACATAATTCCACTGAGACGTTTTTACTACCACCTGGTCAGACAGTTACGTACTATAAGTAAGTCTGAAATCAGAATTTATAATTAAAATTATAAGAACAATACTATAAAACAAGGCCAATGTCCATTCTTAATCCAAATGTAATCATGGAAGTCTGATTTTTATATTTACTTAGTCACGCTATTCTGTATTATTTTGTTTTTATTTATGTATATTTATATCTTGTGCGTATTGTATGTGTTTATTCTTCACTTGAGACCTATTGATTCAAAAATTACCTCGACAACATAGATTCAGTAAGACAGCCTTGAGACTTGAATTTATAGTGCATGAATCCTTTCGAAATTTAAATTAAAAAAAATTACTATATCTCAAATAAGTTACTTTCTAAAAGATTTCGAAACTTTCAACTACGTTCGATTTGTGGTAAGGTGTCAGCCTAGGTACCCAGGTGTATCAAACATAATTCCACAAGAAGAGGAAGATTTTGTATCAAAGTTCCACTCAGTTCAGCCTTTTTAAGAGTAGTCAAAGCAGATGATGTGATACGTAGTCAATACACCTCCATCGATCTCAAAACAATCATAATTTCTAAAGTTTTTAATGTCTTTATTTTTCATGGCTTATAAGTTGTAATAATAATTTTATTTTTCATGGCTTATAAGTTGTAATAATAATAATAAACAGAAGCAGACAGAAAGTAACAGTGATTAAAAACGCCAATAAAAATGCAAAATGCGAAAAATGAATATGATTAAAAAATTAATGTAGCGGAAAGGGAAAGCAATTAATTATGAGCAATTAATTATGAGGGGGGGATTTTAAACGATGAACAAATTAATTAACGAAAGATATTTTAATTAGACAAACGATTGCTACATAAATTTAACATTTAAGAGAATTAAAAAGTAATGATTCGTCAAAGTTCTTTTTGAACAGAAGCAGCGTCTCTGCTTCCCACGTCAATCGTCTATCATCTCAAAACGGTAATTCCCCTAATTTTTGCTTGGCGCCTTCGCAGCTCGTAGTGTAGAGAGAATGACGTCACGGCATCTCAGGTCTGGTTTTTCATCACAGCTCCAAGCGATCGGCACTACATTTTCGGCCATCCGAGGGTGGACTGGCCCTCCAGGACACTGCAAAATACAAAAAAAAAAAAAAAAAAAAAAAAAAAAACAAAGCAAGAATATACAATAACAGAAATAAGTGTTCGTGAAAAATTTTAAAGGCGCCGTCCATTTCTTGAGGAATTCGGCACATGTGGTGGTGCATATGGGCCCCTCATGGCATCCTTCCTTTATTACGTCATAGGTGTTGCCACCCTTAACTTTCGTGATCTTATAAGGTCCGAAATACTTCGCTCTTAATTTTAAGTGTGGTCCGAATTGAGTCCTTTTGATTGCCACTAAGTCACCAACTTTGTACGGCTGTGCTTGTCTTCTTTTGGCATTATATGTCTTTTTATTTTCCTGTTGGACTTGGAAAATTTGCCTCTTGGCTTGCTTTCGTAATTCTTCTCTTTGAGACTCGAATTGAGATTGAAACTCACTTTCTATCAGTTCTTTGAGCTGATCGGTGCCCTTACTGTTCATTTTAGTACCGAAGAGTAATTCGAACGGAGTGGTGTTAATGCTTCTTTGATATGTTGAGTTAAGCGTTCTCTGAACTTCGTGTGTATGTTTATACCATTCGGTTGGTTTTTTTTTTTTAAGGACAGTTTCGCTAAGACTGATATAATGACTTGGTTGATTCGTTCGACTCGTTCATTTGCTCTCGGCAGGCCTGTGGTGATTAGATGATGTTTAATATCTTCTTTAGCACAGTAGTCAGAAAACTCACTGGATGTGAAAGCCTTTCCTCTATCAGAAATAATCTGACAAGGGCTTCCAAAAATGGCCTTCTGATTCTCTAACTTCGCTATCACCTCGGCTGAGGTCGTAGATTTTGTTGGATAAATCCAAGTAAATTTAGTAAAGGCTTCGACCACTACTAATATGTGCTTGCAGTTTTTTTATGGGTACTTTCCAGAGGACCCAAGTGATCTATATGATAAGGTATGCAACGGAATGTCCTCCTTGAATCGCGGATGTAAAAATCCTTCCTTTTTTCCCTGCTTTGCGATTTATTAAGATGCAATGAACGCAATTGGCGATAACGTTTTCTATCTTCTGCCGAAGTTTGGGAATGAAATAGTATTCATCCAGGTGTTTCTCTGTATGTTTGATACCGGTGTGCCCTTTCTCGTGAGCATCTTTTATGATTTCAGTCTGCATACTTTCCGGTACGACTATCAATTCTTTACCGTCAATAAACTTGTATAGTACGCCATTTCTATTACAATAATTTTCATAACTTGAGGTTTTCAATAATTCCTTAATGGTTTTTATTTCAGTGTCATTTTCTTGGGCAAGTTTTAATTTAGGTAGGATATTCTCAACAGAAACACATAAGACGTTTACAGGAGCTCTACTTAGAGCATCTACATGTGGCATTCTAACACCTTTACGATGCTCTATAACATAATCGAATTCCTGTAACAACAGAGCCCAACGAGCAACACGCGTCGCTAAATCTCTTTTTTCCATCGTCCGTTGAAATGCTGAACAGTCCGTCACTATCTTAAATGAAATTCCCAAAAGGTAAACACGGAACCTTTTCAGTGCTTCTACGATCGCGAGGACCTCCAACTCGTAACTTGAGTACTTTTTCTCTGCATCAGAGGTTTTCCTACTCATAAAATAAGTGGGGTGAAAACTGCTATCACCTGGGGGTTTCTGCATTAGAATCGCCCCATATCCTTCTATACTGGCGTCTGTGTGTAGTTCGGTTTCATAATTAGGGTTATAAATTGCAAGTACAGGCTTCTCAGCTAGCGCTGATTTCAAACGATTGAATGCGATCTTTTGTTCTTCACCGAATTCGAACTTATTACCCTTTTTTAGCAGGTCGCTAAGTGGCTTGGCAATTATAGAGTA